GAGCAGGTTCGTCGCGGACGCCCAGTAGATGGGGCCGACCCAGTTGCTCACGAAGGTCAGGATGCCGACGGCGACGACGTTGAAGCCCCCCACGCCGTTGTAGGCGCTCGAGAGATCGACGGAGGAGATTGCGTTTGTGCCGCCAAAGGCGAAGAAGGAGGCGTACTGGAGGAGGAGGGAGGTCGTCGATAGGAGGGGCAGGGAGAGGTCGAGGGAGGCGAGAAGAGGAAGTTGGAGGGTGAAGAGGAGGAGAAGGGGGATGTTTGTGACGCGGGATTGGGTTGCGAGGAGGAGGGTGATGAGGTGGTGGAGGAGTGGGGACGTGTGTCGTGCTTCGGTTTTTGGGTTGGAGAGGGCTAGGTAGGATGAGTAGAGGGCCGCGGCGCCGATGCCGGCGAAGACGAGGCGGGCTCGGGTGACGAGGGAGATGCCCTGGGTGAGGGTGTTAAGGGTTGCCAGGGGCCCGGTCACGAGCTCCGGGGCGTCTTCGTTAGTGAAGGCAAGCTTGAACGTGAAGGCGGAGAGGACTAGAAGAGCCGACGCAGCCGTCACGGCGGCGCGGGGAAGGCCGCGGAGTTTTCTGAGTAGTTGTACAAAAAGAAAAAGATAGGTTACGCTGACAAGGGTCCAAAGGATGGGAGGGTGTGTGACAATGAAGGTTTTCGCGATATCGGGCTCGCCGGCGTGCTTCTGGCCTGTCTGGTTCCATCCCCGGATCAGTCTAGTTGCTGTCAAGGCGATGAGAAGAGATGCGAGTGTTCCTGATGGCGACCGGGTGCTGTAACTCATGTCAGTCTTTGTGATTGTGGGTGCTGCCAGCATGCTTAGCACTTACGACTGCATCTTTCTGATGCCCATGGAGCCCAACCAGGCCGATGTGGCCCAATACCAGAAATGGTGTTCTTCTTCCACGTAGCTGCTCGCGAACATCATGATGCCGTATGTGACTGAGATGGCCAGTAGTGGTATCAAACTAAGTCGAGCGCCGAAAATCAGGGAGCCGGCAACGAGGCCGACGACTGCTTCGCCGATATGTAGCCTTCCCATGTCGTAGTTGCTGGCCATGCTGCTCATGAGATCCTGAGCTCTGCTGAGCCACTATTAGATGTCAGCACAGACTCATGGGTTGATGCACTGAGGTCAGGGTAGTGACATACCTTTGACATGGCTTCACGCCAGGCTGGATCTAACTCGGCCTCGCCATCCATGGTTTTGAGTGCATCATTGACGCGATGCCATTCACAAGCTAGCTCCTGGGCATCATCCCGAGGATTTGAGCACGTTTTTTGGTCAAAGGTAGACCCCAAGTCAAACATCTCGAAGCCAAAAGTTACTGTCACAATGTTCAGTATCTGCCGGGCATTGCGGACGAGCAGTTGGATCTGATCATTTCCTGCCAAGTGTGAGCCACTACGCAACCGAAGCTGGGGCCTGCATAAACTCACTGTCGGGCCAGAAAGGCAGGAAGTCGGATATGAAGGCGCCAAGGTTGTTTTGCGGCACCGGAAAGCCCAGCAGAGCACCGAGGGTGGGTGCCAGGTCTGACTGCTCAATCTTGGTGTAGTAGGAGAAGTCCTCTCGAAACGGAACAGGAGCTTGGAGGTTCCGTTGCAAGGCCTTCAATTTGGGAGAGATAAAAACGAGCGCCGGAGAGGTTTCTCCGGGAGACGAAGCTCCATGATTGCCGGCATCGTTCATACCATGATCTCCGCAGAGAACCATCAATGTGGAAGACATATGGTCTCGTGATTCCATGGCGTTGTATATACGCTTCACAATACCGTCCATCTCATGTTGCTTGGGCACCATGTGTGAGCTAACTATAGTTAGCAAGGGAGATTCGGAAGGCGATCCAAAGGTAATCTTACCTTCGCGGTCCTGATTTATGCCCGATGTGATCGAGTCCAAGGTAGTGGAGAACCAACGTGCTCCAATCGTCATTCTTCAGCTCGCTGTCTATGTGCCTGGTGACATTGTTGTCCACTTCGGTGAAGTCCTTGGACCAGTCAGTTGAGGGACAGCAAGGGATGGATCATGAGACAACGCACCGCTACGAAGAAGCTCGCGGTGCCATCGGCGCGGTCAAATGTACCCGGGAAGAGCTTCAGCCATGTGTCATCGCCGTACATGAGCATTTTCCCCGTCTCCTTGGCTTTCATTTGGGCAAGCCACGTATCTTGAGCAGCGAGAGTCGAGGACGAATCTGCTTCGTCCAGGTTCAAGATGACGTCCAGGAAAGACGGGATTGAGCCAGTGGTGATGGCTTTGATTCTGGGCATGGTGACGGTGGGTGACCGCGCATACGCCGTGAAAGGTAGGGCGGCACCATCGCGGATGAGCCTATAACATCAGGTTAACACGGCGAGAGTGAGACGGTAGGGGGCTCGTCGGCGTACTCTTGAGTGTATGTGAAGCCGGTGCCATTCAAGTATACGAAGTCGCTGTGATGATGTTAGTATTGTCAAAAACCTGGGAGTACTGTGAGCCGCATTTACCTTCGCAACGCATCGACGACCATGAAAATGAGGCGGTCGAAGGGTGCCTGTGGCGGCGGGCCATATTCAAGGGCCTCATATTGAGCCAAACCTGGCAGAACCGGCTTATACGGAAAGAAACCGGTAGCAAATGTGAAAACCGCCAGTGGAATCAGGACATTGGCGATTGTGAGAAGAGCTGCCAGGAAGCCCGGGCCGTACCGAAAAGACATGTTCGTCGCGTATCCATCAAGATGACCTTTGGCCTTAGAATCGCAATACGAAAGCCACGTTTACTTTCGGTGTGTTATTGAAGTTGTCGAGTTGTTTGATGGCTTGAGAATAGAGTCATCGCGTTCAAAAAGCAGCTGCTTTATTCGATCATGATGCGACAAGGGATGAAAGGCGCGCAAACCACAGTGAGATGGAAGACGGGTGAAGTCGCCAACCTGCAGGCAACGGTGGCAGTTCCGTCAAGGTTCTCGGGATCCAGTCGCTTAGACCCCAAATGGGCAAAGCCAGTGTCCGGCAGGCGGAGCAAATAGCTAAAGAGTATGCGCAAGGTATACGTAGGGATGGTAAGGTATCGAGGTACGGAGTAATCAGGTAGATAATTACCCTGGTACATCGCTAGGCATGATGGACATAACAGGACCTCGGGAGCTGAGAGGACACTGTAACAGCTCTTGCACAGGGATGACATGCACCGAACTGGAGGGAGTCGCGCCCGGACGATGATTGGTCGAGAACATACTAAGAAGGAGAGTCCGAGCAGAGAGAACCCCGGCCGATACGAGCAATAGGTAAGTATTCTTCCGCTTCACCCGGCACAGGACTGAGTATCAATGATTGAGGTACGTTCAAATAGTATTGAACGTGAAGTAATAATCGGAGGTTGATAGTGATTTTTCATTATTCGTCTGACAGCTATTTGGCCATGCCCAGCGCCATGTCTACCGGTCTATCAACTTTTTGACCGCTTCTCCAATGTACTCTCTCAATGGGGTGAAAAGTGTGAAATGACCCCCCAAAATAACCGATGAAAATTTTAGTATCCCACTATTCACAAGAACGCCGGAAAAGGAATTGGATATGTCCAGGAACGAGTTCCTCATCACGAGACTCGCCGAGTGAGCGCGCTACAATTTTTCTTGATCGAGCGCGACTCTTCGCCCATGATGCTGCAACAGGCGAGGGTAACAACCAGTGAAAGGACAACAAGCCTTTACTTTCTCTTGGAAACTCCGCCTTTGGAGCCTCCACGACGGTCGCTGTACTTGGGGAAGACAACCTTGGAAGTCTTCTTCCTTTGCTTCTGGATTCTTCCAGAGCGACGCTTGGGTTTCGCCGAGTCAACGTCCATGGCTGTGACGAGAGTCAGTCTTTGTGACGGGAACTATTGAGTGAGCTCAGCTTACAGGTGTCATCCGCCTTGGCCTCCTTCTTCTCATCGTCACCGTTGATTTCCGCTTTTGAAATGTCAGTTTCGAAACTTTTTGCCTCATGGAATTGCCTTGAAAAATGGCAGGGAACTCACCGTCGTCGTCATTCTCAACATCCATCTTGGTGTCTGCCTCCCTCTCAGGCTTGGGGGCCTTTGCCAATTCTAGCAGCTTCGCCGAGAGACGCTCGGCTCTGGCCTGCTCAACGGGACCAAAGACATTTGCCTTGAGTCTCTGGTTGTTCTTCTTGATAACGCTGGCTCTCGCGCTTTTGGCCATTGCTGCGGATATGTACCGGGCGGCGTGGTGTATATGAAGGAGTTGAAGTGACGGCTCGCTGCGTTTATACAGACTAGAAATGAACAGCAGGCTGAGTGAGAAACAACCTTGATATGTCTCGGATCACTGAGAAATGTCGAGTTGTCAAGTCGGTGAAAGTAACCATGTGAAAGCAAACGGTCTTCACTGGGTGATGATAGGAAATTTTACACAGGTGGTTGCAGCCGTGCCCCGCCTGCCAATCCGGTCGTCCAGTCAGGAAGGGTATGCAGGCCGCAGCGCTTTGGACGGCAGCAAATCCATCCTGGCGTCTCACTCACATGGGCTCAGTCAATCGGCCGTCGCGGGGGCTGCCGGCTATTGACACCCCCACATTCGTCCAAACACCTGGAAGGCGCCTCTGGCTGGCGGTGGTTTCTAGAACGGGACGGGCAATGACCCGGGAATTTTGATTTCTCACAGGCGTTGTCTGCTTCTTAGGGGACACAGATGCTGAAACAACGGCGTACCGCCCACTAGAGAGCGATTCGTTCAGGCTCTCACCTGCCCGATAGGGACGTTCAACTACATGCTCTCCCCTAAGAATGACCACACAGAGCCGCCATTTCCTGCCTACACACTGACCCGGCCAGTTGCCACACCATCATCGAGTCTCGCCAATTGTGAATCTCACCTCAGCACTTCCCTCGAATAACTCACCTTCACGCTTCACTTGCTTTAATTTTGGCCCACATCCAAAATACCGCTTGACTACCGCTGCAGTCGCAAGGTATTCAGCTGTGGTGGGCTCCCACCTGTTCAGTGACTTCCATCTTCACAGAGCCCCAGAAGGCCGATGGTCGCGAATGACATCAAATCTTTGCTAACCCAAGAAATGGCCCATAGCCTACTTTGACCTCACTTCATACTTACGCTGGACTAATGCCGTTGCTCTTACCTTGGACGTCGATATCATATTCATATTACTGCTCGATGCAATAAAGTTCGTATTGGTGGGGAAGTGCACAAACAATTTCGCACACATCAGGGTCGCTACCTGCCATCGTTGTCGCATTTGGGAACATTGGTATATCCCTCTGCCTGTCTCCATCATCGCAAAGCCGAGAGTGAAGGAGAAAAAAAGACGGGAAGGGCAGCGCAGCAGCAGAGCCGCCGCCACCACCACTACCACCACCAACCCACCAAGCCGTACGGGACGGGAGCTACCTACCCTGCCCTTGCCTTCCTCGACCGACCCAACTGCAACTTCCCCACGCACTTTTGGCTCTTGCCTGTCGGCGCGCACCACGAGCCTCGTCGCTCCTGCCTCGTGTGGTCGCGCCCATGACTGTTATTTTCACTTGAGGCCCGTCGCTCTCCTTCTCTTCTTTGCTTTCCACCCATTCCTCGGCCGACGACTTTGACGCAGACAAGTATCCGCCACATACCCCCACGGCCTGTCGACGGCGCCTCTAGGTACCAACGACCGAAGTCGATCCGACGTCGCACCTGCGAACCTTCATGAGGCTGTCACCGAAGACACCACCACAACCCTTTCACCTCGCCCGAGAACCATGACCTCCATACAGAGGCATGAGCTCCAGGCTCTGGTCAAGCTGGTGAACAGCAACCAGCTTCTGAACCGCCAATTATCCCAAATTTGTCAGCTCAACGGGCTCACTAGCAGCGGCGTTAAGGCGGCTCTGCAAAGTCGCATCGTCAGTGGTGAGTACTTTTCCTTGTTGAGCCCTTTCGGCCGCCTGAGATACCTCCTTTTGCGCCCCTCCTCTGGCTCCAGCTCTTTCACGGGCGCTGTCGTGTCTGAGCATTGCTCCAGGCAGCGAAGTTTGCTTCTCAGAACGACCTAAGGCTAACATCTTTTGCCCGTCAGCTATCGAGGAAGCCTTCAAGAACAGCGACGCGACTCGCTTCCAGCAGATACAACGAAGCATCGAGACCACAAGGACCGGCTCCTCCGCTTCGCCCGCCTCTCAAAAGAGTGGACGTCCCGCCACAGCGACTCCGCCAGTGTCAATGATGCGGCAAGACCAATACTGGGGGCGCAATGCTCGTCCCAGCGGTGCGAATGGCCCTGCTCTGCCCGGGTACGGATCAAGCGGTATGTCATTCACGCAAAAGTCCTTTGAACAAACGTCTAACTTTGATGCAGGGCTCTCATTTAAGAACAGTCCCTTCTACGAGATCCAGTTCCGGGTCGGCGATGTGCGCTCGTGCGAGGGTAGGTCGCCATTTCATGTTTCATCTTGGTCGTTGCTAACTTCCCTATCAGCTATGAGCCAGCATAGGAACATGGTCTCGATTCCAGTCATAGTCAGCGATAATCTCAATCTGAACAGAGTTCTCGATGACAAGTCACTACGCATCATGGTCTTCTGCGCCGGAGATAACAATGGCGTCCAGGATATCGCGTTTCCTCATCAGTCGGAGATCAAAGTCAACGGCAACGAGGTCAAGGCGAATCTCAGAGGCTTGAAGAACAAGCCAGGCTCGACAAGGCCAGTCGACATTACGAGTTTTTTGCGTCTGAAAAATGACAACAGAAATCTCGTTGAGTTCACTTATGCGTTGACTCAAAAGGTGAGTTGCCTCAGATTTACGAATCTCAATACCCTGCTCCGTCTTTTAATGCTGACACTCAATTTGTCTGCAGAAATTCTATCTTGTCCTGAACGTCTGCCGTATCACCTCGGCGCAGGATCTGGCCGACAACATCAAGAAGGGGCAGAAGATCCCCAAAAACAAGGTGATTGAGGAGAGTAAGTTTTGCCGATATACTCCACTGTTATCAACAAGAGACTAAAACCCTCCAGTCAGCAAGAAAGCGGCGGATACAGATATCGTTACGACATCTCAAGTCTTGTCTCTCAAGTGTCCTCTATCCTACATGCGTCTCGATGTCCCGTGCCGCTCTGTCAACTGTTCGCACATTCAATGTTTCGACGCAACGTCGTACCTCCAACTGCAAGAGCAGGGCCCTCAGTGGCTTTGCCCGATTTGCAATAAACCGGCACCATACGCACAGCTGGCCGTTGACGAGTAAGCCCTATGTCTCGCCCCCACGATTTCTAGCTAACATCCGTCGAAGGTACGTTAGAGACATCCTAGCGAACACATCAAAGTCCCTAGATCAAGTTACCATTGAACCAGACGGACAGTGGCGAGTGAACACAGGACAGGACGAGAACAGGCCGACCAATGGTGGAAGCGGCCTTGTTGACGATGACGATGATGACGACGACGACTGGGGTATCGTGGAGGTCAACCCAGTTCGCAGTCGAAACTTCGAAACTCCCAACCGGTCAGTAGCCAGCACGGCAACTCCGACGACAACGGTGATGTCTCGAGAAAGCTCGACGATGCCGCGGGGCGTGGCCACAACAAGCGCCAAGAGACTGCATTCGGATAGGGTGACAATAGACCTGACCCTATCAGACGATGATGAGCCAGCCGCACCGCCTCCGAAGCGGCAGCAACTACAGGGACCGGGATCGAGTAACTACAATAGCAATGGTTACAGTAGCAGCATGTTCTGAGGAGGCTAGCCTGGCATTCTCTATCAACGAGCTGCGAGATACGGAGCATGAGGTTGGCCGCCTCAATCAGCACGTACATACTTCCCTACCTAATGAAGGCGGATTTGTGGCTCATGTATGTGTTTTTTTCTTTGGGCGTGGAAAGGGACGGATGGATAGCTGTCCAGGCGTTTGGGAGGCAAAACATATTCCAACAGCCCCAACAGCCTTATGCCATAGGCATGAAGCAGGGCGATAACGGGCGTCTGAGCAGAGCTCTACTTAGATGTGAGGCAGATGCCTCAGAGACTTTGCCAGCTTGGTACCTTAGGAAAGCGAGGGGTACAAATACCAAACACTACGCTGCGGATATGATATCCGTATAATAAGATGAAATCACTCTGAAGACTCTCCTCTTCGTCCACGTCCATCATGATCCGTCCGCAATCGTGTGCCAACATAACGTGCAAGTTGTCTACTGTACTCCATAACCCCTGTCGAATCGGAATTGGAAGCTCTGGTGGGTGGACCCTGAAGAGCTTAGAGGCCAGCTCCACGGGGTTCCATGTCAAGGCAGGTACGTACCCGACCTCGCTCTTTAAGGTACCTCACCTCAGTAAAGGTAACCGACCTTAGGTAGGTAGGTAGCGGCTTCAATCGTTCATCCACCTCCAGCTACCTGCTACCTACCTTGAACCGCACATTGGCCTCGACGACACAAGGTCCAAACCTACTCCTACGAATTTTTCCAAGCGCCATTGCATCGAAGTCATCTCTGATTCTACGCCGAACTGACCCTTACGAACATCGTTGCCTAGTCTCCATTGCCTTGCATCAACACCAAGCTTTCATCGCAATCGAGTCCCAGACAGACAAACGAACCCTATTCGAGAGAGCCAACAACGGCGCGAAACCCTCCTCGACGAAGCCAAAAACCATAGCAACTATCACTCCACGCCCATACTACAATTAGCTTCCCAGACAGCAAGAAACCATGTCCTTCGAAAGCGTCATGCCGCCGTACAACGCCACGGACCCGTCGGCCTCCTTCCTCAACTCCTCCTGTCTAGACTTCCTCCTCATCGAGCTAGTGCCCATGGCCTTTCGCGTGACGAGAGAACTCGAAGCCGCGCCGACCGATGCGAATAGTACCGGCGGGGGCGCTGCCGCTGCAGGAGGAGGTGCTTCAGCTGACGCGCTGTCGTCGGTGAGCCACAGCCAGGGCGGGGGAGCCGACGGGGGTCCCGCGCCGTCGAGCGCGGACGGGGCTGCGGGCGGGAGCACAGTCAGGAAGCTGGATGAGGACGAGGAGCGGGATGCAGTGTTTTATCGGCTTGAGACGCTGGGGTATCGTGTCGGGCAGGGGCTTGTGGAGAGGTACGCTTCCTCTTGTGCCTCCCTCCCCTTCCTCTCTGCGCCGTCTTTGGCGACAGCAAGAGGGGGAGGAAGATACAGTATCAGGACTCATACAATGATTGGAGGCTGACAGTCTGTGAACCTGGCATTTAGATTTTCGAGAGACCGTCCGCGATTCAACGATACGCTCGACGTCATCAAGTTTGTATGCAAGGACCTTTGGTCGCTTGTATTTAGGAAACAGATTGACAACCTCAAGACGAATCACAGGGTACGTTGGCGATATCCCCTCTCCCTGCCGGAAGTTCTGGTCAAGGGCGACGCTTCAGACAAGCGACTTGGGGATTGGCTGGCTAATCTGGTGTGTTGAATTAGGGCGTTTACGTACTGACAGACAACTCATTCAAACCGTTCTCGAGGATGAGCACAGAAGCTGGCGGACAGGCGGTTGTTCGGGCACAGCCGGTACGTCTTAATCCACGCCGATCTATCAATATGACGACCTACAGCGTGCTGACTTGTCTGGCTACAGTTTCTCTGGTTCCCGTGCGGGATTGTGCGCGGAGCGCTGGCGGCGTTAGGTATCAACGCAACCGTCCAGGCCGAGACCAACGAACTACCGGCAGCTATTTTCCAAATCAAGACCTTGCCGTCAAGTACATAATACCCAACTTCACTCACGTACTACGAAGCCCCTGTCCCAAACAAATGGCGCGTGGGGAAAACATAGAGAAGTGTCAATGACACAGCATGCAAGCGTTGCAAGATTTTTAGACTTTTTGCAGAATATCGACCAAAGATCTGGTCATTCGAGTTGATGCCCAAGGTGTCTAACTCCAATTATAAACCAGCAGCAATTATCGCCATATCCAAAACTACCGACGCCGTTGCCCTACGTACGCGGACTCAAGAGAATCCCAGCTGGTGTTATATACGCTGGTCAACCATACAATTCCGAGACCAACAACACCTCACAGCCTAGGAAAAAGAAGAGTCGATCAGCCATAATTCTCCCTCGGTTGTATTTCATCTATCACCATTTCTTTTGGCTACATTGTTGGAAGCTGTCGTCATGCGGCTTCCTCGAGAGGGGTTCGGGGGCTGTTACTGAAAGCAAGTGTACAAAGGGGGGAATCACTTTTGGGGAGCCTTGTGGGCGAACTCGACACCCTTCTGAATGTTGCCCTTCAATCCCGCAACCGCAGCCTCCAGAAGCTTCTGCTCCTTCTCTGTGATGTCGCCAAGAATGTCGATGGCCTTCTCAGCACCGTTGGGCTACAAATATGTCAGTGTTGAGTCCGTTTAGATTTGGGCAGGGGACAGGATGGAATGTTGTGCAACTTACGCCAAGCTCGATGGGAACGGAGAAGAAGTCGACGCCGGTCTTCTTGGCAATCTCCTCGCCGCCGGGAACGCCGGGGAGGTAGACGTAGCTAGGCTCAACAAGACCCTTCTCGCCCTTAAGGGCCTTGAGGACCTTCTCGGCGAATCTATCACACGTCAGTCCCTGACCTTTAAGTTGTCGAGCGTCCGATTTCTTACCTGTAGCCAGCGTAGGCCATGGAGAGAGTGGCAGAACCAGCACCGTCCTTGGCCTTGACAACCTCGTCACCACCGAACTGGACACGGTTGACGAGAGCATCGTACTTGTCGTCGGCGATGGACACTGAAGGCTTGACCTTGCTGAAGAGGGGAACAATGGTCTCGCCGGAGTGACCGCCAATGACGGGAACATTGAGCTCGCTGGTGGACTTGCCAGAGATCTCGGCAACGAAGGTCTCGGCTCTGACAATGTCGAGAGTTGTGACACCGAACAGACGCTGAGGGTTGAAGACGCCCTTAGCCTTCAGAACCTCGGCGGAAATAGGGACGGTGGAGTTGACGGGGTTGGAGATGACAAGGATGAAGGCCTTGGGGGCGACCTCGGCCGCAACCTCGATGAGGCCCTTGACGATACCGGCATTGATATTGAAGAGATCGTCGCGGGTCATGCCAGGCTTGCCTAGAGTGGATTTCCCGTTAGAAAGAAGCAGCGGACGAGGCTCCGCAGGTGTAACTCACGAGGAATGCCAGCGGGGATGACGATGATGTCGGCATCCTTGAAGGCGGCCTTTGCGCCATCATCCTTGGGCAGGTAGCCGGCGATCTTCTGTTTGCGGCATCTTTATTTAGCAAGCTATCGATACTACGGGTGCCACGAGGCAATTGAGACTGCGATGAAACGTACCGCATTGGAAGAGATGTGGGAGAGATCGGTGGCGACGCCGGGGGTGTTGACGACATCGTACAAGGCAAGCTCATCGACGAGGGGAGAGAGCTTGAGGAGGAGGGACAGAGGCTAGAGTAGACAGGTTGATGGTGAGCCAATGCGCACGTTATTTGCTGACCACGCGGGGTTCCGGATTCACTGTACCTGTCCAATACCGCCAGAGGCGCCAGCAACAACTAAGAGATGGTTAGATTGACGGGGCTTTGTGCCATAGTCTTAGGTGGTGGGAACATACCGGCCTTGACCATTTTGATTGTGATTTCTTGTTATTCGGTTTGAGAGAGGAGATGGATGAAGGAGGAGGGAGGGTGGCCTGAAGGGTTCTCGCGGATTAGCGGGGTGATCTTGGAGCTTGCTCGCTTAACACGTCGAGCTCTGGCGCATGGTACGAGACCAAGTGTGGGGAGCTCTCGCTACAATTATCCAAGCTTGTCAAGTACTAAGGTGAGGGGGGGAGAGAGGTCATCGTCAAACGTACAGTAGTCACGTAAACTGAAGGTTTTGCTTGTAAGATGGAAGATGTGTGAAGATGAATTTCACAAGAGCGGGAGATCGTTTGCTTTAGTATGAAAAGGGAGAGCAAGAGGGGAGAAGTAAACCGAGCCAAGGTTACGTAGAAGTAGTCTGAGCCAGCTGATACCTAGTCCGGAGGCTGTCGGCGGGGACGTAGGTTCAACCGCGGGGAGAATTGCGACCTTTGGTTGCCCACCCCTCGTTCCGTGGGACTTTGCCTGTGTCATTGGGTGGAGGGGTCAAAAAGAGGGGCAACTTGGAGGGGTGAGAAGGGGACCATGGGGGCGCCGCTCCTGAGGCAGGGCAGGCACGGGGGGCTCAAGTCTCCATTGTAGCTATTGCACGCTCCTCCATCGCTCCTCGAGGTGAGGTGGTAGCGGCGGCAGACGCCAGTAATGCGCAGAAAAGCGACTCGACAGCAGCACTGCGGGTGTAGTTACCTTACCGTATGTCGATGTACCTCATGTACTGCGCCGCTGCACCCAGCAAGCCCGATCCTGTAGCTTGTACTTGCGCGGTTGCGGTGCTCTATTAGCCGGACCAGTTGCTGCGTTGCTGCTGCTGCTGCTGCTGTCTCGGGAATCGGAGAGCTGCAGAGTGAACAAAGACATAACCAAGTGCAAGGTACCTTTCGGCTTGCCGCACCAGGGAATAGCTGTCGCAGATACCTCGTCATTCGACCCAAACAAAGGCGGCCACTGAGACACGCCCAGCCCATGGAAGCAGTCGCTGTAGGAAAGATAAAGATACATTCTATAGGTACCTACCTTGGGTGCTCTGGTTGTTTCCCGCCCACTGCCCATTGCTTGCTCAATACCTTACCTAGCATTGATTGCGCCAATCCCCTTCCACCAACGTCCTGCAACCAATTGCAACATCCGCCGTCAACCCGTTTTGTTCGCCATTCACCTCCGGTCTGATGCATGTGAGAGACGGACGAGGCTAACACGGTAATTCGAAGCTCGATTCCCCCCGTCAACTCCCGGCCAGCTGGACCAATGCCTTCCGATGTTTTCCTGCTGATGAACGGTCTCCCGTCCACGTCCCGATGTTCCGAGCTCCAGGGGTAGCTTGTTCCTATGTATAGCCAAAACTCGGGTGTGGGAACGGTAGAAACAAGAACCTAACGCAAAGACGGGCCCCATTATTCCTACGAGAAGCCTGTGACGTGCTTCAGATCGTGATAGCTAACATTATCCTCGGCGATGAGACAGCTCCGCAAAACATAAGCTACGGGTCCTGTCTGTGGTGTTTGGGCGGGCGAACAGCTCACTAAAAATACATATTCACTCATCGTTGCCTCTATGAGGTTTAGATATTGCTCATGGAAAATGTAAGAATTACCTACACCGCGGCACGAATTACTCACAATATCAAGAGTACGTACCGTTGTGTTAGAAATGCCATGTTAGGAGCACCTATGCAACCCCGGCTGGCAAAGTTACCCCGCCATGTATGCGCAGGTGCCATTCCACGTATCTCAATCAGGTCAATGTCGGCGAAGACTTACTCCGTGTAAGACGTAGAAGCGTCCCTGGCTTTCATCGTTCATCAATACTCCAACAACAAACTGCAATTAATACATCGCTCCGCTACACAACATTTTTGGGGGGCAACGTAGGAAGATGGTATGGCTCAAGCCGGAATGACACCCTCGACATTCCGATGCTTGCCCGTGGTCCCGAGGTTCAGCAGGAATTCGCCCTCTACTCTAGTCGGGCAACTCCGGGTGAGGGCCGAGGACCACGGCATCAACAACACCATGACCCGTAGTCCGGCTACTGTCCTATCTCGATGTCGGCCTCTTCGACCACCGTCACTCCACTCCCACTCCGAGCTTTTCCTTTCTGTGCAGGCGCGCGTCGTGGCATAAGATAAGGTATACTTCAACATGCATCATCATCACCCTCCCAAGTCGTTGGCCCAGAGCCTCACAAATCCCTCACACGCATGGCATCAAATGCGAAGGGGGGAAAGCAGCAACACTCGTTTGGAGCAAACGAAAAACCAGTCCCAGTCATTATTTTGTGGCCTTTGACTCAAGCTTTTGATTTGTTTCGCCTGTGTCCCTCAAAAAGGTATTCTCTATTTGCTCGACGTAACGCCCAAACCAAGCCTGTTTCTTTCTCTTTTTTCGTCCCGCTAAATCAGCATCTCAACATTTATGCCTCAGCCTCGGCAGCGGCGGCGGCCTTGGCCTTGACACCGCGGGGCTTCTTCTCGGGGGTGGCCTTGACGGCGCGCTGGGAGCGGCGGATGGCAGAGACGCGCTGGACGGCGGCCTCGCGGAGGTCGCCACGGTAGCCGCCGGCGGCAGCCTGGCGGGCAACGGCGGAGTAGGTCCTATGGTTCGACAGGCGTCAGTCATCTGTTTGTTCTCCTGAATCCTTGTGCTTTTCCCGTTCCATGTGCCGCATTGCGACAGCAAGTTTGTGGTTGTAGCGGTGGTACAAAACTCACTTGCGGGAAGACTTGTTGCCGCCGTAGGTGACCTCGGTGTAGCCCTTGGAGGGCTTGTTGAAGTTCTTCTGGTTCTTGCTGATCACCTTGACACCACCCTTCTCGTTGGGGACAACGCCGATGGCCTAACCGTCACATGTCAGTCATCTCTGTGTTATTTGATGTTGGGAAGGGTCGAATCGTTCGAGCGAGGGAGGAATATCGAGTTCGATCGGCCTGGGGTGTAATCGTACCTTGTCGTTGACGAAACCGGCGTACTGCAATATGAGTTAGTTAAAAATGCACTTCAACCCCGCCAGTATTCTGACTATTCGGTCCCAACATACCTTGCGGGAGTGCTTGTTGACCAGGTTAAGGGGGTCGCGGGAGAGCTGGAGACCGCCGGCGTCGTTGCGGTTGACCAGGAACGCATTCTGGGCGCCTGTATCGAAAAAAAGCAGTTGTGAGCAAAATTGTGCATTCAGGCCGAGTTCGGCATCGCTGGCAGCCGGGCGCCGCGGTGAAACTTACGGACGACCTCCCAGATCAGGTCGGCGGAAACGTTGGGCAGAGTGGCGGCCATTTTGACTGATTTGAGGGATCACGGAATGGTTGATGAATACCTTCACGATTGCTCTGATGCCGGTCTGCGTGTTCGTAGAATTCAATGGCCTGAATTGAATGTGTGGGCTATCGCTTAGCAGTCGCTTTGCGGACTAGCGTCTCTTGGGTCCACTCATTCCATCGGCGACGCCACACCGAGTTCCCCTCCGGGGCACAAAAGCCCTCCCCGGCGGGCCAGTCTGGATGTGGCTGGTGATGGCGGTGCACTTGCATCCCAAACTGGCTTCAAGGACAACCTCGTCCTCGTCATGTTAGTGGACCGCAATTGCGGATAATACTTTTCCGACTTCGCGAATTCAGTTCTCGATTGTACTAGTAAGCGGCAGGTTCAAGCTGTTTTCGAGATCGTCTCAGGATTAAAGCGTCGAGTATTGCGTCTATTCCAATATCCGTGCCTGAGCTCAAGAACTTGACTGTCGCAAAACAATCAATCATCAACTGCCGTTCTTGGATAGGGTTTGTAATGCCCGGCCTTCTTTTCTATGCCATTTCTCGTATTTCCTGGTTCCCCAGTTGATAACATGTTTGACTACGGCCTGAATCGACCTATTCAACGAGCGATATATTCATGGTGTTTAATTCGAGGCACACAAGTGAACCACACGACTAGGACCGACACACTCTAAGGTATGGTGTTGAAGTGCCCAAAGTTTAGGCATCTCTCCAGAGAATCTTCGCTGACTGTCAATGCTCTAGTGCCGAGTGTAGCTAATGATTACCGTTCAAGTGATTCACACAAATCCATCATTCGGCTCGATGTCATGCCACTGGGCCCAGCCTAGACATCCGATAGACATATCCCGAGCCTAAGCTAGGGCATCTTCTCGCCCTACAAATAAAAACTATTGGTTCTCTATGGGTGCGTCTTACCAGCCTCTTGTGTAGTACTTCATGACAACGGGTATGGTACGTTGACAAAGAGGCCGGCTTTGCCAATCCTGAGGTATTTAAGACACTGCATATCCGTTGTCGAACCTCCTCTGTAAGGGAGTCGAACTCGTCTGTGAGAGGCACTGCCAGGGTAGGCGCTCTAGCTCATTTCACCATCTGGCTCGACCGAACGATTCGTCTTCGTATACGTGCACAACGCCAAACAGGTAAAGTCGCCGACCTGTGGCTCTGACCTGGATCACCATTTCTTTCAGAACTTATTCCATACTGTTACACCATCTTAGTATTCTAGTTGACGATGTTCTTGTTCGTGAGCTATCCAGAAGGATAATGGCAACAAAGCAGGTTGCCTCTTGGGCACCGACAAGGCGCTTTCCACTCTTAAATGCACAGTATCGCTCTGCTGCGGGACTATGAAGATATGCTATTCACACCGTTGCTTCCCCGCTCAGAGGCAAGGCTAAACATCTGGGAAATGATTGTATAGCAATACCTCTCGTTTGCCGGTATGCAATCGTCATGTTATTCCAGCAAGCTACTGTTTCTACATGACACCGTTTCCAGATCGTGACCATGACATACATGGTCCAACGGCTGATGGCACCTATATGTTCGAAACCCACCGCCTATCTCTAAAACTCGAACCATCTTATAGGCAGTATATCAGAATAGCTCTGTTGCTTTTGGGAGGCTCTCCCCCCATTCAGGTTGAGACAGCCGATGGAATAATGTGTGATATAGGTACAGCTACTCTATCGTTGGATATTTAGACAACACTGGCTACAAAATTGTATAAATGTTCACTATCAAGGCGCCGAAGCTGAGGCACATTCGCTCTTCAATAGCAAACATTTATCGGAGGCTGCCCGCCTTTCTCGGGCCGGAGGACGGTTTCCAAGTTGCGAGCGCCGGTTGGGCCCAGCTACCGGGGTGATCAAGTTTCCAGGGGCCGAGCTTTGGGGTATCTTCTGGGACTCTCTTTTGGAAAAGCTTTAGTTACGTGTGTCATTGAAATTGCCTTTCACCTCCTCGTTGCGTGGCCTTAACCACGAAGAGTGGTATTAAGAGTATGTCCACAGATAAGGCAGTTGAAGTAACTCATGTACAGTCTTCAACGACCTCGACATAGTCACCTCCAAAGAAGACCAGGAACGCAATGTAAGTACTGAGTCGGCTCTGGGATCATTCAGTCGTCTCCAGCTTTGTTCGCCGTGGAAGGTACGAATACATGGCAGCTGCAGCACGTCCGGTGGGTAGGGTGACCCAGCTGGCGGGGGCGGAACCACATGGCAGCTGCAGCACGTCCGGTGGGTAGGGTGACCCAGCTGGCGGGGGCGGAACCATTCACGTGATGCAAATGAAAGCTTGCCCGTCGGCATCCGTAGCGGCCTCCCTGGCGGCCCTGGCCCCTGCCGCGGAACCCTGCGCTTGCCCTGCGCCCAAGCCTTACAAGTTACGTACGCCTTCGAATGCTCCATGCTCGACCTTAGTAAGTGGATCCCCATGGAAGTCCAAAAGCTTCAGGATCAGACGGGATTACGGGGGGCAGTGACAGCCCGAGTCCACCTTCAGCGACGCAGAGTCCCTGCGGGCTCTCTCCCATTCCCAAAAGAGGCCAACTGGGGAGCCTGAGTAGTGTTAGTGTCCAGCGCACTTACGCAGCCTGCACCACTGCACCTCCACATCATCGTACGTCGGTCGGTACGCCTGGCTCGTCGCCGAATTTCACCACTTACACTTCCATTCCGCATAACCTCACTCTGCCTGGAGTCAAACGCGACCGTCTGTCTCCTTGCAGATCCCGACATGATCGTTTGATCCTTTCGAACGGCAGTCCCTGACCGTTTTCGCCAAAACACCGTTCTCTTTGTGACTTCTTTTTTCCACACTATTCATTTCCCTTGCCTTCCGTTCTGTTCATTCTAAACCACGACGATCACCACCACCACTAGCTTTTCGGAGTCTAGCCACCTAAGCAGCCGGCGATCGCGAAGCAACCACACCAGCGTATCGGCCACCAGCCCAACGTCGTTCCATCTCAACCGCGCCCTCGAAAGCGAAAGTCGCCCAAGATGTCGTACCTCCTCTACTCCGTCTCGTTCCTCCTCCTCATCAGTGCAACGGCCCTCTACTTCACCCGCGGCCACTGGCTCCACCTCGTTCCCGACCTCCCGATCCCCGGCCGCGACTACATCTACTCCCGTCTACCCTCCTCCTTCGTCGGCGACATCGACGCTGGCCTCTCGAGCTCGACCTTTGACTTGGCGGGCAACGTCGAATCCGGCGACAGCCGCGCAGGGCTCGACGATCGCAGCAAGAAGGAGATTCTCAAGATCATGAAGAAGCGCCGCATGAAGTTTGACGACGCGCGCAGGGTGTACATGGAGCAGCGCTTCAAGGCCAACGGTATCGGGCCGGATGGGAGGCCTTTAGATCCCAAGGCTGTCACGTTCAGCTAGGCGAGGCATGCACGAGCTACCTCGAGAGAACGAGCGGAGGGGAGAGAGAATGAGAGAGGCGAAAAGGGGATACCCGACACAGTTCGGGCAGGCGGGAAACGTCGTTTGCAGCATATATTTGCACTAGACTGCGATACGAACTACCGACGACTACACCGTTATATCTCATTCGAGAGGAGGGAAATGACCACGAAGGATCATTCCTGATCACTTTGCACCGGAGCATAACTCAATATTCCCAAGCCTTCACCTCCAACAACCACAAATCCTTTTAACGCGCCCAAACAGGCCACCGACTACTTTTCCTTGCTTCTCAACTCTTCGACATTCCACTACTTCCTAGGGCAAACAGGCGTTGGAGCGAGCTTTTTTCCCTCTTCTTTTTCTTTTTTCTATGTTGTATTATCTTGGGTTTCCCGGTGGTGGACTTTTCTAAGGGTCTGGTTGACAAAGCCTTCTTTGCGCCGGTATGGATCGGCGTCTTCTTTTGGTATTATCTGTCAACGTAGAGCTTGCGTGATACAGCCTCAATGGATTTTCACTCTTGTTACCTCCACGTATTCATCCTCTTTTTTTTTTTTTTGACTCCGTGACCCAACTTTTCAACATGTCCATCCTACGAGATCGCACAGGCTTCCGGAAGTCCGGTAGATGTGATAATCGAGTCCTTCTTCTCCTCGACATTTGCTAGTGTGTTCTTCAAACCTCGTGTCATTTTCGAGTTGGCATTCTGGAACCTCTAAAGGGTCCAGTTGCGCTACTAGCTATTACACCCTGGGTCCGTCCATACCCGCAGACCGTCAGATGGCTTCGCTCCCATTATATCACCATCATCCGTCCATATTGCGCCCAGCATTCCATTGTGCCGCTTTGTATATATACAGTCAAAGGTATGGCCAGAGCCAAAGTATTACAAATATCTAGAAAGTGGATTCTTCAGCTGTTCACTTGCGGGCTGGCTTTTGACGCTGAGCGTGTCCAGCACACTTTAGACTGGCTCTCAGTTCGTCTTCTTTGCCTCGGCGGCAACGTACTGGCGGTCGTCGTCGCCCTCAACCTCCTTTTGGATGTCTTCCATCTCCTTCATGTTGGACTCCCACGTCTCCTTGGCCATCTTGGTCTTCTTGTTGAACCAGGCTAGGTCGGGCTTGCGGTAAGTGCCACCGAGACGGTCCCAGAGGGTGGTGAACTGACCGTAGTTGTAGCTGCCAAGTCCTGTCAGAAAGTGCGAAGCTCTCGGCTCTCTTACGTTGTCAGAAACTTACTTGAAGTACAAGTGGTGGGCGGTGTGGCACGCTGAGCCGTTGATGATGGGGTTGTCGGTAATGTACTCACCGTCGTGGATGAGAATGGTCCAAAAGTTGATAAACACAAACAGTGCAACGTATGCCAGCTTATTGAGAGGGAACAGCATCGGGTAGACGTGGTACGGGACCGACTGCGCGAAGCCGTCGAGGGGGTGGAAGGCGTGGCTTGCGTAGGGCGAGGGCATAATCCACTTGTGGTGAGGCTTGTGAAGGTGCTTGTAGACGAGCGGGAGATGCAGCCACCGATGAGCCCAGTAGATGCACAGGTCGGTGAAGAGGATGAAGAGCGGGAACTGCGCATAGTCGTACCAACGGCCGGGGCCCTCCTCGGTGGTATCGTAGAGCTTGCAGTAGCCGCGCACCTCGGCGACGAAGGTGAGCGCGGTGCAGATTGCCATGACCGGCATGGCCATGTTGGCCTGTTTCATCTCGAGACGGATCTGATTCTTGAGGAACTTTGGGTGGCTAAAAGTCTTCTTGTCAAAGATGAAGATGTACGATAGAGTCGCGAAGACAAAGTAGTTGAGAATGCCGAAGAACCTGGTATTATTCGCAGTGTTGGTGAGCTCGGTCAGGAACATGGTGAGGGTGGCGGAGCTGTAGCAACAACGTACCATGTGACGAGGAAGAGAGATGCGAACTGTCGGAAGATATTATCTCTTGGCCAGGCGCTCATATATGCGGCTTCGGAAGGCTCGAGGTAGAGCATTTGTGTCGAGGGCTTATACTGCCATGTCGATATCGGTTGCGCCGTGGCGTTCGCGTGGTGAGGGAAGTCGTAAGGAGCTGAACCGGTTGGGAGCAATTTGGCGTAGAGCTGGTCGCCAACAAAGGTATCGACAACCTCGAGAACGACATCCATGATGTGTCGAATCGAAGAGCAATCGGTGGATGGCCACTAGGGTTACTGCAGCAATATCCAAAGCAACGATCGCAGTTGAGGAGAGAAGGGCCGGTAGTCACGTATGCGCAACGGACCAGCACGAATCCAGGTTATAAGTCGTAGACGAATCGAGGTCGCAAAGTTGCCGAGGGTCGCGGCCGGGATAACTCGGTGGGGTCTGAGATCATCGAATGTTTAATAGAAATCCTGGGGCCATGAGAAGGTGGGCAGATCCGCCTTACCTCCGGTTTAATGGGCCTGGCTTCCGAGCGACGGGGACACAGCCAGGGGCGGGATCGGCAGCGTTTGCTTTCGTGTCGGTAAGAGCTTCCACCAGAAGACTTGGACAGGGATATTGCTGTGAAGCTTGTAGCAGACTGCAACCTGGGCTTGTCCGACGTTTGCAACGCCGGCGGTTGAATGACAAAATGCCGGCAACGAGAGACTGAGCCAACGTCGACAGCCAGCAGATTCTACTCTGAATATGGCGGATGTTGGTCGAACGGCGAAGCTCAGAGAAAAAGGGGACCAGAAGACCTAGGTTTAAGGTGTCAAGGTTGTCAACGCTTCGATCGAGGTCCCTCAACACTGGCACGTACCCGATCTTAGAGTTTGGGGGTAAGGCCCAGCTGAGATGACAATCGAACACAAGAACGGGCGTCAAGATGACAAGTGTTGCTGTAACTCAAGGCCGAACAAGCTCTCGACGAAGGGGTAGCAGATATCCCTGGGCGGGATTAGCCCTTCTTTTAACTGTATCTAACTCATCTCCAGTCAAGGGCGGACAACTGCGAAACTCGGAAGAGTCGGTGTACGCAAGCCCATTGTGTCCATGGAGACTCGTCCGAGGTAATGTCCCAGTGGGCAGTTCGTCACTTGGGAAATCGCATGATCCAGCGGGATGGGCTTTTCCAGGGCCCGCGTTGACCAGTTTTTGACGTTGGACTTTTGGCTCAAATTAGGTGGAAAGGCCAGGGACCCCACTGGCGCAGCAAACCATTGGCGAATCAGAAGCAGCCGACTCGTATTCGGTTTCCCGTCAAGTCATCTACTAATGTCCCGCCGCTGTGGTTGGGGTGGTGGTCTGATTTGATGATACCTGCGCCTCAAGATCTGGATGCTTTGGCAGATTGGTTAGTGCCATCTCTCTGCGTGTGCCATCTGTTTGTTTCACATGCAAAGACAGCCAACCAGTGCAGCATACCTAGAAGCTACTGAGGGTCTATTCCTTGGTGCGTTTGAGGAAGTAGTGGCGAAACCCAGCCTATCAATCTGAATGCTGTTGTAGGGCAATTCTGCATCATCGACATGGCCAATTGGTGATTTCGGGGCCCGGGTAGCCTGGTGTGATTCTGTGTCATCGGCAGCAGGGTCTCCCAAAATATTCAGATCGCCCCATCATATTCTAGGCTGGATCAAGCGGGCATGCCTGACAATTGCGAAAGCGTTGGCAGGCGTAATGAAAGCGATGCCAGTGCTGATAAAGGAAATGACGACGCGCTTGGGGCAGATCGTTGGTGCCGCTTTCTCGGGATCCGAACCGAGCGCAAGACTGCGAAGGTTTCCTTTGGGTGTGTTACAGTACAGAAGAGTTTTCGATGATGCAACAAGCTCTCAAAGTTGGTCTAGTAGACATTGGATGCTGGCACGGGGAACAGCTTATTGTAAGGTCACCCTAACGCGGATGCCGATCATCGCACCCTTGCTGCGAATGGTACACTACGGTCACGAAGAGTGTCTAGAACGTCTGCAAAATGACGGTTGAACGGTGAAAGGAAGCCTGTCTGTCGAAGGTGGACCATTAAGCACCGGCGCTTCGGCGGAGCGACTGGGGTCGTACTATTTGGCTATCCTGTCGAGAGTCAGCTCGGTGAGCCTCCAACTGGAAATATATCAGCAGTGCTTTCCTCTCAGCCTTGATACAGTGAAGAGTCGAGGAAATAATGAACATTTCGTCGATCTCTATATCCTAGTGAGCGAACGGAATGCCTGGCGTATAGTTGTTAGACCGCTTATGATGTGGTAAATGGAAATACGCCAATAGGAGAAGATTCAGGACGGCCAGCGGTACTACAGGCCCTGTCTGGAAGGCACATCGCTTTACTCGGTGAACCGTCCTTGACCGAGTCTCACCACGGGCCCATCAGGGCTGCTTACCTCAGCTGGGCACCTTCTCCGCTCAATCAGCTTGGGCTCTCTCATTCTACCCGGAACTCACCTTACCCTTCCGATATTCGAACCCCAACGCTAAGGCACCCAGAACCGCCGCCTTGTTTGTCGCGGGACCGCCAGCTGATGTTGGGGGGCACCTCATCATGCGGCCATCGCCAACCGCGCTTCACACCCCTCCTTGTTGACCCTCTTGCCTCAGCCACGCTCCTGAGCGGTCTGGATCTTCACTCCGAAAGAGGTGCACACCCGCCGACAGCTAATGGACCTGTCCGGAATACATTGTAGTCGTGGTATGTCAACCGGGGGTTTAAAAAATTGATGCAGATCAACGAAATAGGATGACCGGTTCCAACCATGCCAAAGTAGCCAGCAACTTAGGGCAGCCTGCTGTGCCTGCTTCAAATGGTCTTGCGATTGATATGATAGGCAAGAAGACACAGTATTGAGTTGCTCGGAAGAAAAAACCTCCCTCCAGCTCATCGAGATCCACCGTGTGTTTTCTGTCTATTAACTTTCAGACACGGCGACATAATAAGAGGCGTCTTCATCTGCAGACCCGGTTGTCAGCTTTTGCAGCTTTGTGGTGTGGCATGATATGGTCGCTGACAATGTCTACGGATAGTGTGTTGCACTTTGATCAATCTGGTCATATTCCTGTCGACAGGGTGGTTTTGCGCGCGTACTAGCAATAAGCAGAATATGTACAAGAGAGGAAGAAGGAATGAAATCGAAGCGAAAAAAGAAATCATCGTCAAGAGAGGGTGTGGAATGGGGCAAGACCTGTGCTACCACAACAGCTCCAACAAAGTCCCCCCCCAGAGTTTTGTGTATGTACTGCACGGTAAGTGTACGCTCATGAATGTCTGGTACCACCGTAATCGCGCTAATAATGGCATTGCATGGCGCATGCATGCGACAACGGGAATGCCTCCATGACATTGTTGGCGATGCCGAGACGCGGGGGGTCGCCGAAGGTCCTGCTAATTGTACGTGGGTCTATCCGTATACCGATGGATTTGGTTTTTGCCTTTTCTCCCCTTCGGCATCCTCTTCCTCTCGTACATGTCAGGAAAAGTTAGAACCTGACAACATCCAAAGGCTAGTGAGCCCGACGGGCATGGAACGTTTCGACAGCTTCCATGGATGATGGTAAAGAGAAGGATGGCACGATGGGATGGGCCACAGCACAGGCCAAGGGCCATGATCCTTGGTGTGTGACACGGCGGGCGGATGGCCGAAGAACGCAACATGCTTGGTCGCCCTCCCAACCTTATTGCCTGCGGGGGGCTTCATCACTCATCATGTCCGCGCCGCGCCCCAACTATGAGATGAGAGGAAAGTGTCCTCTCCGGGCGGTTCATGTTGATTAAGGTATCTTCGATTAGCGGCTACAACTATCCATACGGTGTTGCTACGAGCCGAGATGACCTAGGTGAGATGTCGTCTTCTCACCTTGGCTCACCGAAGAATTGTCACATCCCAAAGCGGCAATTAATGTTTACTCTGACAGAAACCTATCTGTGTTCTGGTGCGGGTTTACCACCTTTTCCCACTCGTATATACGAAAACTGCGTTACCATTTACATTACTCCGTACAGATAACCCTCCTTAAGGAAGTTGGGAAGGCATGTAGGAGAGAACAGGGAGGCTTCACGCACACGCGCAGGCGCTAGGCCGCTAATAACTTAGCAAGGTTGACGCAGGTTCTCCCGGTTCTCAGACGTCGTCAAACTCTCCCTCGTTTCCATCTTTGCTCTGCGGATACCAGACCAGACGATCCACCACGGACACAACCCTCTCACTCACAGTCATCACACCCACACGCCTCTCGTCCTGTATACTACTCCGTGCTGTACTATACGCAGTAAGTACGGCACGGATACTTCCATTTCGTGCCTCGGACCCCCCTTTCACTCAGGTTCCCTCCTCTGTCTCTCCTGCTTCTCTCTGTCTCTCTCTCTCTCTCTGTTACCTATTCTCCTCCCACGCACACCCCCCTTTCGCTGAACCCTTGCCGTGCCTCGCTCCTCAGCAGCCGCCCTCAAAGCTAAGAAACCCGTCACGTCTTCCAATAGAACATTCTGCATCTGCACCCGCACCCGCAACCACAACCCATGGCCCACCCATCCACAGTTCACAGCTTCACCCCCTCAAACCCTGTACCACGCACGCGTTATCCACACCTCTTCCACCCCTCCCCCCATGCGGCTTGCCCTGGCCCAGTGGGTGCTTGGATGCTTGTGCTCTGGTGCTTTGGTGGGTGCCTCACTGCCATGCCAGTTGTGGGTGCCACCTCGTCGGCCGCATCTCCATGTTGCGCATCTCCATGCGGCAGCGCTGCATCTCACGATAACTCCCCAAACTGCCTTCTTCTGCAATACCCAACCCTACCGTCACACCTTAGCCACCTGCTTGCCTGCCCGCACTTACCACCCCCCCCTTCTGGCGGCTATCGCCCATAACAGTTGCATGCAGGCGAACCCCCATTTCCGCACAACATCTCTTGTCTTGATGTCACAGCAATTCAAGAGCGTGCCGGTAACAAATATACTCGCTGTAGTACGTGGCTATGAATGGACGTGTTTTTTTGTTGGTTGCCGCCAGGGTTGTGACATCCGTCCGCAGCGGCGTACGTGCGAATGAACAACACTTGTAGTCCGAAAGTTTTGGGGCCGCGAGCTTGCACGGAGCTCTGCCGATGTTTGGGAAAACGGTCGAGCGGGTTTTCTTTGCCGGACAGAATCTGCTTCGTACTCCCGTCACGATCCAAGTTGTTTCTTCACTAGTGGAACAGAGCAAAGTGTCCGATGCCCATGCTAGAAAGCGACGCTTCCGGTTCTGGAACCGACCAGCTAGATATATCAAGCCTGTCATCCGTGGTGTTTAGTAAATATTACGATATATTGACGTCCAGAACTAACATGATGATTCTGTTCGTCCTGCTCAATCACACGAGGCTTGACTTCTGGCCAGATCACCGTAGTTGCCTCTGGCGATGCTGTGGATTCTTAGCTGTAGCTGGAATCAGGCTTCATCAGTAACGTAGGCAATCGCATGGTACGCCAGGTAGGTAAGCAAGAAATTCACAAAGCGCGAAATTGACCGAATGTACCTTACGGAGTAGCAGGATCTTCTATGGATATAACATCAGTGTAAGCATCTGCTAGCCAATGGAAACAGAGGCAGGAAACACCACACCAAAATTGCGAAATGAACCAACTCGGGGATTTATATCAAGTCGTTGCTTACCTACCAGGTTGGGCGATGCAGGTAACCAGTCAAGATGGCGGGAGCAACATCGAGGCTGGTGAGAACGGGACCTGAAGGTTTGCGAGACTGAGGTAGGTACGCACGAGGTACAGAGAGCGGGCTGCACCTGCACCCCACCGCCCCACTAGTAACACGCCCCCGCTCCGCGAGCTAGCGTCAACACTAAGGTCCCCCTGCCCTACTGAACCGATTCAGTCGCCGCCGCCTACCTAGGTACCCACGTACCATATCCCAAGCCTGGGCAGATTGAAACCACCCACACCCGCTGGGAGCAAGCGACACATGGAAAGGGACCCACCTTTGAAGCCAGCTCACCAGAAAATAAAAAGATACAAAAAACATAGAAACGCACAGACCTGGGCTCCATCTCTGTAGCGATGTCCCGGTCGATACCTGACGCTACATGACTGTCGCCCGTAATGCCTGCTCCATACCCGTCAACGCTCGCTTGCGGTCCCCTAGTGCCGTACCGCTGCATCTTGAGCATGTATCGCGACTGACCCAGCTACCTCCCGGTCGTCTACCTTAGCTTGGCGTGCACCTGGATCCAGGGGGGGCGGCACAGAGCAGTTCACCTCTGATGGGGCACCCACCTTTGGATCAAATCCCCAGGCGGCTCCCATCCGTCTTCTTTTTTCGCCTGTGCACCTTACACCTTGCACCGTCTCCTCTCGTTCCACTCGCCAGCCTCTTCTGGACGGGTCTCTTTCTCTCCTTCCACCTGCCTTGCCTAACCCGAACTTTTCTTCCCCTTCCTCTCTTTTCCCCCATCTCCGCCGTGACAGACTCGACACGCGCGTCGCGCACATAACATCATCAATCGCGAGCACAACGCCTTTCCATCTCATCATCCCCTTACGCCAATCGAATCCCATCCGCGTCGCGCAGCACCCATCTGCGTTTTCCTGACTGGACGGCTCTGCCGCTGTCAACGCAACCACCATAGACCTTACCCAAGGCAAATCGCGCCTTGTGCCTCAGTGCATCCAGTCGATTGAAGGGGGGCCCATAGCCGCAACAGCTAAATTTTCCGAGCCACGACAACCTCAAAACCAAACCCGACGCATCTTTTCCGTCATCGACACTCGAATAGCAGCTTCTTACGGTTATATTTTCCCTGATCAACACCACCACTTCATCTCCATCAACACCACGTACCCCACCGGCGCGAATTGTTTGGTTCCGACCTTGAATACTCCTGTCGACTCCAACCGCAACCATGTCCATGTATCCGCATCGCGCCATGGGCGCGGTGCCCCCTAATAACTCGGCCCGGCTCAATGAGCTCCTCGACCAAATCAGATCCGAGTTCGACACCCAGATGCGCCAGACGGAGGGTTATGAACACCAGAGTAAGACAATTGCGCTTGACACCTATCGTCAGTTACGCTAATTGAATGTCCAGTCCAGGCTCAAGTTCAGGAGATGCAGCTTGTTAGGGAAAAGGTGTACGCCATGGAGCAAGCGCAAATGAACCTCAAGCAAAAGTATGTCGATGTCAATGATTGCGAGCCGAGTCCCTTCACAAGAAGCTAACAGCGAGCGTTTGAATAGGTACGAAGAGGAAATTGCCATGCTCCGCCGCCAGCTTGAGGGAGCTCGTGGAAACGCGCCTCCTAGCATCGGCGGTCCTCCTCCTCACGCGGGCCCGTCGCAACAGCCCCCCTCCATCACCCCCGGCACCGGTCTCTTCAACGGTATCATGACCGGTGGTGGCCAGGGCCAGCTGGCCCCTCCTCCGCCCCCTCCTCCCCCTCAGGACCAGCAAATGGGCCCGCAGCATCAGATGGCCCAGGGACCTCCGGGTCTGCCTGTCCCGCCTCCGCCGCCGCCTCAGTCGCAGCAGCCTTTCCAGCAGTACCCCCCGGGCCCCGGTGGGCCCGTATCTAACGGGCTCGGCTCCCAGCCCCCCCAGACCACCGCATCGCCGGGTCCGGGCAGACGTGGAATTGGAAGACCACCTGCAGCTGTCGGTCCGGCTACGCCCCAGATCAACACTCCCATTCCTTTCCCGGGCGCCACCCAGTCGCCTCAAGTCAGCCATCCTACTCCCGATCACGCGCGGATGGGGGGCCCCCACGCTCCGCCGGTGGGAAACGCCCTTGGCGATCTTGACCCTGATCGCCTGCCGCCTCACTCAAAGAAATCGGGTCACGACTGGTTCGTCATCTTTAACCAACATGTGCCTCGCATGTTGGATGTCGATCTTGTCCACACTCTCGCACACGAGAGTGTAGTCTGCTGCGTGCGCTTCAGCCACGACGGCAAGTACGTAGCCACCGGCTGCAACCGCTCCGCTCAGATTTACGATGTTCAGTCTGGCGAGAAGCTCTGTGTCCTTCAGGACGACACTGTGGATATCACTGGTGATCTGTACATCCGCAGCGTTTGCTTCAGTCCCGACGGCAAGTACCTCGCTACCGGTGCTGAGGACAAGTTGATTAGAGTAAGTTTGACCGAAAAGGCATTTTGGTATGGGCTCAGCTGACTCTTCTTTCTTAGGTTTGGGACATTCAGTCCAGAACGATTCGCAACACCTTCTCCGGCCACGAGCAAGATATCTACTCTCTCGACTTTGCCCGCGATGGTCGCACGATTGCCTCTGGTAGTGGAGATAGAACCGTCCGTCTCTGGGACATCGAGCAGGGCACCAACACTCTCACCCTGACTATTGAGGACGGTGTCACAACTGTTGCCATTTCTCCCGACACCAAGTACGTTGCCGCTGGTTCCCTCGACAAGAGCGTCCGCGTTTGGGACATCCACCAGGGATACCTGCTCGAGCGTCTTGAAGGCCCCGATGGCCACAAGGACAGCGTCTACAGTGTTGCCTTCTCTCCTAATGGCAGAGACCTCGTCAGTGGCAGTTTGGATAAGACGATCAAGATGTGGGAGCTCAGCACCCCTCGCGGCTTGCCCAATCCCGGACCCAAGGGGGGCCGTTGCGTCAAGACTTTCGAGGGTCACAGGGTAAGAGATTTGTATACCTGCAAAATCCATGAACCGATTCGCTAATGTACTTAGGACTTCGTTCTCTCTGTCGCGCTTACCCCCGATGCCGCTTGGGTCATGTCTGGTTCCAAGGACCGTGGAGTGCAGTTCTGGGACCCCCGCACTGGCGCTACGCAGTTGATGCTTCAGGGCCACAAGAACTCAGTCATTTCAGTTGCTCCTAGCCCAACGGGCGGCTACTTCGCCACCGGCTCTGGTGATATGCGGGCGCGTATCTGGTCTTACCGAAGCGTCCAGTAGAGAAATGTCGCTCGGCCATGGACCGGATACCTGTACGTGGGAAATTGATGTTTCTCGGCGAAGGCTTGTTTAGTGGCCAGAGATGTATACCAAACAGCGGGTGTCGAAGAGAAGAGGTTGAGTTGCTCTGTTACTAGGGAGGGTTTCGTTTGCGGTGGAACAGGTTGTCCCTGTCTATGTCTTGGAATATCCTCAAAGAGAGACGCACAGGCCGGTAGGGGGCGTACAGGCAGGGACACGTCGGAATCTCGTAGCAAATAGCCGTCGCTAATGAAAGATTTGAAGCTTTACATGACTCTTGTCTCCATGTGATGTCTTGTTTGGTGTTGTTGGGGAATCTTTATTATGTGGGTGTCTCTATATGAGGGAACTGAATAAATCGGAAAAGTCATCCGTCTTTTTTACCTTTTTCTTCTTCTTTACTGGCTTTTGCTCCTTTGCTGGCTTGCTAGATTTAGTCTCCAGAGGAGGCACATTCGCCAACTTTCGCTTCTTTTGAGGGATGGCGGGTGATGCTTCATCGATATTCCGTGATGATGATGGGTGCTGATCTGAAGGTTTCGCAGCAAGCTTGAGTTGGTCCCGAGAGATGGCCACTCCGAGACCCTTTGAATCGGATTGTTGCCGTGGCTGCTGCTGGTGATGCCTCTCATCTGCCACGGCGGCTGCAGCAGCACTTTGGGTTGCTGAAGATGATGAAGAGGTAGTAGTGACATTGCCTGCTGGTGTGGCCTTTTCCCGAGGAGCAGGAGCAGGAGTAGGAGCCAGGAGAGTGACGGCTGAGTTGATGCGTGCTAGGAGACCTAGGAGGACCAGGCCTAGGGCGGCGTGTTGCTTGTCTGCTGCTAGTTGTGTGAAGGCTCTGTAGTCCTCGGGTCAATATCGGTAATAGGTATATCAATGAAGGAAATGTAGAAACTCACGAGAAGGACGAGGGAATGGTGGATTCTAGCAGCATCTGCACCCTAGCAGCGACATCTTCGTCTAGCGCATTCTGACGACGTTCAGCGCTGCTGGTGGGGTTGCCCCCAGCAGCTGTGGCAGACTTTTTCGAGGAGGACGAAGAGGACTTTGACTTGAAGCTGAGGGCGCGGCGGTGACGGGCCTGTGCCTCGAGGGCGTCGTGCAGGCGGCGGACGGCGCGGCGGAGGAGGTCAAAGGCGGCCCACCAGCGGGCTACGCGGTGCTGGTTCTTGTTGCGGTGGTTGAAGCTGTCGAGGATGGCGAGGACGGGGACGAGTGTTGCGATTGGGGTTGTTTCTTCGCTGGGTGTTGTTTGCGCTGCTGTTGCGGCGGTTGTGGTTGAGGTTGTCTTCATGTCATGAGATTTGCTTTTTTCGTTTTCTCCTTTGGCGCGCTAGTGATGTATGATTCTCTGAGAAAAATGGAGTAGCTAAAGCGAATTGATTGTCTAGAGTGCGAGGCGTGGAAGGCTGCTGTCAGACGTGATGCTCGCGAATCTGAAAGTTTGATACTACAGGTACTCTTGGCTGTGGTTGGTAAGGTGAGAGTGCAAGTGGTGTGCGAAATATGACAGAGGGACCGTGCACATTCAAAAAAAGAAGCAACGACGGACCAGATGTTGATCGATTTGGTTCGGATCGGAGGGTGGTTAGCCTCAAGTAACGTACCTAACGAAGGTTAATTGCACACTTTCTAGGGAACAGTATGTACCGATCATTATGAGGTTTCAAATTTGCACTTCGCGCTTTTCTCTATGCTTCATTGGATTATTCTATCGTCCTCTTCAGAGAGGGGCACACAGACAGAGGAGGCTTGAGGCGCATGCTACGTGGGACAGGACCAGCGGCCGGCGCTGATGAGAGTCAGTCAACGTACGCTACCGCGTGTACTAACCCCTAAAGACATCTATCCTGTAACGTAGGGCAAGGTCTCGAGCAACGGGGATCTCGTGGAATAGAGTGGGAGAACAAAGAAAAGGCAACAGAGTCTGTGCATTGCCAATTCGTCCGAGGCCCGGGGGAGTGTAACACGATCTGGCTAGAGCTGTGTCTTTTGCGGATAAGACTGGTCATGAGATGCTCGAAAATTGCGAGGATTCTTCGGGTGACGCGGAAAGCTGAGGGCATGTGAATTGAGGCTCGAGCATCTGGGGTACTGCGGTAGTGTAAAAAATTGAGAGGCTCGGCGGCAGATGATTACTTGCAAGGATTCTTGTTTTTGACTTTTGGGAAAAGTCTAGGTTGCGAAGTCGATTATATGGCACCGTACTAAACTAGCTACTTGGCGGGGTGGTGATGGCATCATTTGCATCTGAACCTCCATGCATGAACCTGTCTCAGGAAGGCATTTGGATGACATGTCATGTGGTCCTTTTTGGGGGAAGAGTATGCAAATAGCGGTGAGTAACAAGGTAAGGTAAGATGAGATAGGATGCGGAGAGATCTGGGCGGGGGACTCGGGCGGTTATCTTGAAGGGACGGATGGAATCTATCAATATCCGAGGCCTTCAGCCCGGCGGCCGCTGAATATCGAGTGAGAGTTACCTTATAATTATGGATGCGATAGTTGGAATAGGAATTGCCCAACCTCCTTAGCTAAGAAAATGCCCGTCAGCCGTTTGATAATGAGACTCCACAATCGTCCCGTAAGTAGGCAAAACATGTGGAGGCAAGGAATAAAAAGAAAGAAACAGGATAGACAATGGCAGATGATGTCGAAAGACTTGCAGGACGACATTACGTACTGCAGACGTCCGTCACCTATTACCTAGTACCTTAGTCAGTACCGTGATACCGTGGGACGGTACGGTTAAAAGAGAGGCGCAGAGATGGAAGAGAAGCAGGCTGGCCGGCGCAGCAACCCGGGAGGGTCGAGGGGTTGTGCTAGGTGATACCTAGTGGAGAGGGCGGAGCCAGGGTTAGTTCAAGTTTGAAAGTTTGCAGGTTCTGGCCGCTGCAAAGGCCCTGCAACAGGCCCTGCCACTTGCAGGCGACGTGCAGCAGGAGCGTCGTTCCATTCTCTGCCATTGTCCAACCAGAGACGCCGACGCGATAAGCCGACCAACTTTTGACGATGCAGACGGCGTCATGAAAATCAAAGGTTGTGACGTCCAGCTGACTTTGCTTTACTTTGTCCTGTGAAAACCCCTCTGTCGCCCGTGTCTCTCCTGCGTTTCCCTGTTGGTAATTTGGCAGTTGTCAGTTGATGCCTCAATGTCACTTCCGCTTCTCGGCAGAGGTACCCCTCTCGATCCTCTCCTTCTGCTCCCGCATCGAGCCATCTCTCGACTGCTATTCGTCGTCGTAGTCTCGGGTTGCCTTCTCGGATTCCGTTAATGCATGTCATGACATATCTGCAGATATGGCCGGCGATAGCCAGCCCGCCCCCCAGGACCCCATCCTACCCAACCTTACCTAAGAATTAGATAGTGATCTGTGTCAGTGCGTTCAATTCCAAGATGCAAAAGTCATGGCTACACTCGCTACTTACCTACCTCGGAGAAGGCAGTTGGGCACCTTGGGGGCGTTAACGGTTTAGTTGTCCCTCTTCATCTGAACCTTTTGAAAGGTAAGAGGGAGTGGAAAGAGGCAAAAGAAGCATTGACTTTTTCTGACTTGAGGATCGCGGTGGTCCTTCTCATGTACCTTACCTTACCTGAGTAGGTACTCGATTGAGAAGTTGAGAAGGAGGGTTCCTTCCTTGGCTTTCCAACATTTACATACAGGCCAACTTTACCTTCGTCCTCCTTCCAATCTTTTCTCCAGCTTTCCTCCCGCCAAACTCCTTCCTTACTCGTGACCCACGGCAAACTACCTACCTTACCTTAGTATACATACGGCCACGCAAATAGGGTACCGAGCATACTAACACCCATTCATTCGACTCTTGGGTCTTCTTGTCTTGAACAACCCAGGTTCAAAGTTCTTCCTAACGCCACGACGTAACAATCACTGCCACCAACCGCTGTTATCTCTGTCGTTCCGCCCTCCTATCCACTTGGACGTGGAGACTGGAGCCAGACAGGATAGAAAAAACCCAGTCGGACCTCAGCAGACACTCGCGACAAGACCCAACCTACGCTTCCGACAACCCACTTGCACTAGCAACCCATCTCATCTCCCGCAACGACTCCACTTGGGGCCGGCCTTAGTAGGGGTGCCTTGGTTTTGCTTTGCAGCCTTTGCTTGCTTTGGGCTTGGGGTGCGTAAGAGGAATAAGGCACATTTGCCTTTTATCGATACACGGTCTTTTCGACCTGCTACTACCTTACACTACTAAATCCCGTACGTACTCAGTAAGGTGCCGCGCTCACGCCGTGTGCGACTACTCCGTCCCGACCAGGTTTATATACCACCTCCAAGGCTCAAAACGCCCGCGCGAGCAATAGCCCAGTCGCGACCGTCTACCCTGCCCAAAGAGTCGACTACAGATTTTTCTTTCTTCCCTCTCCCTCCTCTTCTCTCTCTCTCTCTCTCTCTCTTCCTCTGTTCCTGTCGCGACCGTTCTGCATTCGATTCGTCGTTGTAGAAAAAGAACGCCGTGGGCACGACTTTAACCAACCTTTGTTGTTGCTGGAATCCACGAGCTTTTCCCCATGCCCTCGAGAAACCCGTCCACCTGGGACGAATACGAACGGGGCGCCTCCCCCCAGCGCTCCGTGAGTATCGACTCCAATGCCGTAGCTGAGGACCAGTCGCTCCTGGGAGAAGATGACGACGGTGACTACGGCAGCAGTTCTCACGGACTTCGTCGCAGAAGGTTGTTATTCCTGACCCGAGCTGAGTAGCAGATTATTGACGTCAGCTTGCTGCCGTCGTCTCTGTTGCTGCAACTCTGCGCACGACACACTCAGTTCACCCCGCTAATCAACCCCTCCTACAGATCTTCAGTAACGCGGCACCTTGCCGCCATCACAGATATCGGCGGCGTCAACAGTATCCGCTCCTTCACCCGCAGTTGGGCGCGTGCCGCAGGCTTTGCCGAAGTCATTCCCCAACGGCCGTCCTTTGTTTTCGCGCCTGACCAGGTCCCGATTGCCTCGTCGTCCACCGATGGCCTCGATTACTCTCGCAGCCATGTCGAGTCCGGTTCCCACCCGAGGACCTCACTGCTGAGGCAGCACCTCGAGGCCACCCCCGAGACGGCACCGAGCGCATCGTATCAGAATGGTTCTTCCGCTTCTGGCGCAGACGACAGCGCTGTGCAGACCGATTTCCGCGACCGCGAGCGCAAGGCAGTCGAGGCGGAGCTGTCTGGAGCTTTCCGTGGTTCTAGCTTTGGGAGTGGTCGCCGACCGTCACAGTCCATCTTCGCGGTCCCGCCTCACCTGGCGACCCCGCCCCTGGTTGGAAGTTTCAGCTCGTACAGGACGTATGGAACGATTGCAGATGTCGATGAGCCATCAATGGCCCAGGCCGGTGAGCTCTGGCGCCAACAGCAAGAGGCAGGGGGCAATGTGCCTGATGGAGAGAACATGCCCATTCTCGTGAAGGAGGTCGAACAAGACGGAAAGATTATCCTGACTGTGGAGGGACAGTCCACGCTACCCCAGACCATCTTCAACTCGATCAAGTGAGTGGTGCCCCTTTTTTGGCGCGCAGTGGAAGACAAGACAATTCTAACCTACGGCGCAGCGTCCTAATCGGCGTTGGTCTGTTGAGTTTACCTATGGGCATCAAGTACGCCGGTTGGATTTGCGGCATGATCGTCTTGGCAGGCTCTGCGGCGGTGACAGCGTACACGGCCAGGCTTCTGGCAAAGTGCATGGATCTCGACGCCAGTTTGATTACATTCTCCGACCTGGCCTACATCTCTTACGGTCGTAACGCGCGTATTGCCACCAGTATTCTCTTCACCCTCGAATTGCTGGCTGCCTGCGTCGCCTTGATCGTCCTGTTTGCCGATTCTTTGACGCTCTTGTTCCCGGGTTTCCTGAGCGTCAACATGTGGAAGCTCTTGTGTTCGATTATCATGATCCCCCTCAACTTCCTCCCGCTGCGCCTCCTGAGTTTTACCAGCGTTATTGGTATTGTGTGTTGTTTCAGCAGTAAGTTACCTTTCTCTCTCCACGCCAAGCTCTGATTGCTAATGCATGAGGCCAGTCGTCTTGATTTTGGTGGTTGATGGACTAATCAAGCCCACGACTCCGGGCTCTCTCATCGAGCCGGCCACGACCTACCTGTTCCCTGCGAACTGGGGTACACTGCCCCTGAGTTTTGGCCTGTTGATGAGCCCGTGGGGTGGCCATAGTGTATTCCCCAATGTGAGTATTCGTTTGTCTAGGTGAGCAAGTGCGGCATATTAACTATTCTTCAAGATTTACAGAGACATGCGCCACCCTCACAAGTACCCGAGGGCCGTCAAGACGGTCTTCACATCTGTCGTCAGTAGCCACAATACGTTTCCCGACCGCTTTGCTCACTGCTGACTTTTGACTAGTACCTCTTGGACGCTTTCACAGCCGTTGTCGGTCTCCTGATGTACGGCGACGGTGTCATGGATGAGATCACGGCCAACATCCTCCAGACGAGCGGCTACCCCCGTGCCCTTAACTTCCTGCTCTGCATCTTCATCGCCATCATTCCCCTGACCAAGATTCCGCTCAACGCTCGACCCATTGTTGCCACGCTGGAAGTTTTGACCGGTATTCACCAGCAAGCTGTTGCCGACAGCTCGGCCATGGTTGGGCGCTCTGCCACCTTTCGCGGTATCATGAAGGTTGTCATCCGTGTCGTCACGGTGTTGGTCTTCCTCGTCATTTCTATACTTTTCCCGGCGTTCGATAGCATCATGGCCTTTATGGGAAGTGCCTTGTGCTTCACGATTTGTGTGCTGTAAGTTTGCCCCTATTCGATCTCTGATGTCGACTGAGAAGACGAATCTGACCATGCCCCCAGTTTACCTTTGGCGTTCTACGTAAAGCTCTTTAGCAAAGAGATCTCCCCCCAGGAGAGACTGCTTTGCTACGTCTTGATGACCATCTCCACGATTCTCTCCGTTGTGGGCACAGTCTGGGCCTTCTTGCCGAAGAGCCTCATTGGTGCAGAGTGAGGGTGGTCAGTCACTGTTTTGGTATAGCTTCTGGCATCAAACGGCGTCCGCATATTGCGATCAATTTGGCTCTCATTGCACGGCGCTGGTGACATCTGATTTTGGGTGCCTGGTGTGGAATAATGCTTGCTTGGCTAGTAAATAGTCGTATATATGATGTGTTGATAGTATGTATTGATGAGCTGCATGTCTGTGGTAGACAACGCCCGTATGGACCACATTCAAGTGATAGCATGATACGCAAAGATGTGCTTTTCTCAGCACAGTCTCTGCGCTTCCGATCGCAGCTATACCCCTTTTCACGACACCGTCGGCACCCGCTGAACTTCATTCCCTTGCCGTTAGCAGTGCACTTCGTCCATCCAGACCGTCCGATCCTCTTCTTATCGATCCAAGGCAGCTGCCGCGACGGGTGCCGGCTCCCGTTCCCAGGCGTCTCGCACACCAACCCCCACGCGGTACACCGCTATCAAAAGGCTCTAATACGGAATTAGCACAAAGAGATATGTGAACGCCAGTATACACTTCTAGAGCGTAGTTATGTACAGAAACTTTTTACGCACTTGCCTGCCTGTAATAGATTGAACGACAAACAACGTTGATGCACGCTCGCGTCGTACTATTAATGGAAGATTCTCACCTCGGAAACACGGTCTTCTCTCCATCAGAGACCGTGGCTGGGCATGTCTTGCACTCACTGCAATACGAGCATTATTGAAAGCGCAGTAGATTAGCAGGATACGAGGCCGTGAACTTGAGCTTGTCTCTACCATTCCCATGGCAGAGCTTTCCAGATCATTAACCAGTCGTTGGTTGCTAAACTGTAAGATGCCGCACTATAAATCCCGTTCATTTCGAGACTCAACGCCCGCGCCAAAACTTACCTACCAGACGGCCTCACAGTTACCATGGAGTGGATACGCTGAGGACGATGGAGTCTTGCCCCTGTATACCTCCCTGCCTGACTTTTGTAGTGTATTTGTTATAGCTGATGAGGAGAAAAAAAGACGCGCCCTCGTGTAAAACCACAGGAGGTACCAAAGCCAATCTCGAGGAAACTTGCGTATTCGATGAGGACTGAAATTGGTATTTGTCCTCTTCATGGATAGCAAAAGGGGCGCTACTTGAAAACTCAAAGGCGTAACAAAGGGCATATCAATACACGAGGCCCAACTTTCGCTGTGACTAGTTTCATTCTTGTTCAGTGATTCTGTGTAAATTGATCTCAAGGTCCCCCCCACCCCAAATAATGAACAGCCACGTACATACACACACGATGGTCCTCTTACTCACCTACATGTACGCATACACGCACTACAATGTCTCGGCCAATGATACCCAGCCTCAGTAACAAGATTCAAAAAAGGCCCCTAGTAAACCTTAGCAACCCCGCATTCCGAGGGTATTTCGTGAGAAGCCTGGAGAGAAACCGTTATGTCATGTTATGTCATGTCGTCTCTATCATGATGCTCAACTGGATAAAGTAGATACGGCATCGAGTCAGTTTCAATGGGCACGATAACTATGCTCCGTATAGCCGAAGAGATCGGCGAAAATAATACATTGCCTCATCGACATCCACAGATACAGAAGGGCCTCATGCTTTAACATGCAAACAGTCACGCATCGCGTTATCAGCTCTCCTCAGACAATCCAGTACCATACAACTGACAAGTATTAACAAAAGGGAAGAGAGGGAAAAGTTAAAGGGAAGGTTAACCAATGCTACGTGTCCAACAGGCAATGGGTGTCGACAGAACACACGGCCATGACCGCCGACCATCGACATCACCAACCCCCTTCTTGCTGGGTTGTCGACGATAGATAGATAGATCTGGGGGGTCCTCAAGACGGTGCTAAGCCAATTCCGGGGTTGCCGATCCTGTGGAGAACGGTGCTTCTCGTCTGTATAGCATCCACGAATACCGTGCCTTGTTATCTATCGACCATAGGGTTGGTGATCACTCATGACTCGAGGCAAGTGAGGGGTAATACGATACGCTACTCAGCCAGCAATTAGAATGGACGGTACTCAGAAAGGTTGGGGGTCAGTTTGCCATTGTCAGAAGATGTCCAAACCTCAAACGGGTAGAATATGTCACAGTGAATGGCAAAGAAGCAATGATATGAGTGGGTAACTTCTGGTATTGTTCATTAATCTGGAGATATCTAATACACAGAAAGCGAGTTGAGTTCCTTCATCCAAACAGGTGTTTTGTCTTGCCAAGTAGAAACTCCACGACAGTCAAGTCGTGGCTACTGCCACAACTGAACAGCCAGGTGGAAGTGGCAATGTCCTGATGGTGATAACCCAACCACAAGAGGTGACTCGACTAGGAATGCGCTTCCTGCCAGCCACCAACCCACTCGACGTCTGCGAGATCGTTGCGCTTCTCCTTGCGCCAATAATTCCAATCTCTGCCCTTATTCCAGGGGCAGTCCTTGACCTTATCCTTCGGTGATTGTTTTTGTGTGATGTGATGTGTGTTGTTGTTGTTGTTGTTGTTGTTGTGATGGTGTCCGCCGTGTTCCCATGACGCGGTAGCGAAAGAGTTGGCCCCAGCCGCATAGGAATTGTAGCCTAGGCCAATCGCTCTTTGTCTAGGAACTTCTGGTGACATGTGGGAATATGAAGATCCCGTGAGACCCCGGCGCCGTTGACCGAGCGCAGCCCACTTATCAACGTTGTCCCGCTTAGGGGGTGATGATTGATATGTGGGCAACATGGGCCTCGCCTTGGGCGGAGATGGTTGTTGGAAGAAGAATCCGTCGGCAGCGAGGTCGCTGTCAATGTCGTTGTGGATCAACTTGTGGCTGTCATGGAAAGAGCGTTGAGGCGTGGTCGCAAGGGGTGTAGCATCCACGGTCTCGCAGTCGTCTTCCTTGTCGTCCGACTTGCCATCCTGGCTCCAGGTCCGCGAGTTGAGATCCTTCAGAGACTGCATCTCTCTCTCACGCTCGGCCTCCTCTTCTTCCTCATCCTCATCCCACATGTCACTCCAGCTCTTGGAAACGGCATCCTTACGCCCGAAGACCAACGACATGGAAGACAAGTTGCTGCGGGGTTTGGCCATGTTGATGGGAAGGGAGCCAGCCATGGGTGAAACCTTGGGAATTGGGCGTGGAGCAGCCTTCATAGGTCGGCCAATGTGAAGGGACTGCATGGAGATGCCGAGGCTAGAGTTGAATGTGGATGAAATCGAAGGAGCCTGAGCAGAGCTGAACCAGTCCGAATTCTGGGTTTCACCAGACTTGGAGAAGAGGTCCTCGTCGGGAATGGCGCTGAGCTGGCGGATCGGCTGAGGAGGGCTGGCATGCAGGGCCTTGGCCCAGGGGAATGCACCCTGATCGACCTGAGGGCTCTGGATGGAAGGAGTGCGGAGGGGTTCGCGGTTGGCGCTCGCCATGACATGACGCTCGGCGGAGCAGAAGTCATCATCATCCTCCTCGGAGGTGGTGAAACTGATGACACGCTGGAGAGCAGAACGGGCACCGACAAGTGATCTCTTCTTAGGATCCAAGCTCATGCACTGAACGATGACCTCATAGGTATCCAGAGACATGGAGGGGAAGACGTCGAAAAGGGATTGCTTGTCTCTGGAAAAGTCCAAGAAAAGCGGATCCGCCTCGGTCGGAGTGGTGAAGGGGTTCCGCGAGAAAAGGATGTTGAGGAGGCAGATGCCAATGGCCCAGATGTCGGCTTGGGCAGGAGAATAGCCGGCACCCGCAGAGTCGTATTGCTCGGGGGACATGTAACGGTCGCTGCCAACGGTGTTCTCCAATGTCCAGTTCTCGGTCGTAGCGAGGCCAAAGTCGCCGAGCTTCATGTCACCAGACTGGGTGAGAAAGATGTTCTCCGGCTTGATGTCTCGGTGGAAGATGCCCTTGGAGTGGATGTAGTCGACGGCATCCACGAGCTGCAGCATGAACTGTCGGACATGCTCCGTCTCGAGAGGGCCGTGGCCCTTGCGGATGGCTTCGTACAAATCACCCTGAGGGCAGAACTCCAGAACCAAGTAGAGGTGAGCATCGGTTTCGAAGGTGTCGAGAAGGTTGACAATGTTGGGGTGGGATCCAAGACGGCTGTGGAGAACAAGCTCCTCGGATTTCTCGTCAATGGCGAAGTCGAAACCATACTCATCAGCAGCTTCCTTCTTAGTCAAGCATTTGATGGCAACGGTCTCGCTGGTCCTGGTGTCCTTGGCCATGAAGACCATGCCAAAGGAACCATGGTTGAGAGGAGAGATGGTCTCATATCGACCACCGAGGAGCACACCATTCTGAAAGTTGTCTCTCAAGCATGCCATATCGAAACTGGAAAAAGAAGCTTTGGAGCACGGGGTATCGAATTGAGAAACAACGATGTAGCGGCGAGGGTGATGTTACAGCTTTAAAGCAAGCTTTTCGAGGTTTCGTCGTTGCAGAGGAAGGTGAATTCGAGTGGTTGCTGGATCGAGAAGGATGGATGTGAACAGCGTAGAATTCGTGTCGGTTGTTGTTGTTGGTGGTGTAGATCGAGAAGGAGGTGGAGTTTGGTTGTTACCAAGAATATACAGGGTTGAAAGAACAAATCTAACAGGAAACAAGACGAATTTCTAACTCCTTTTCGTTGACTTATCAGAGGCTCATTGAGGGTATTTTTTTGCTGGAGACGGACATATGAAAGCGAGAGTCTGTTGTTGTTGGTTGATTGGTCGTTATGGGGTTGGACGATTTGGTCCGGAAAAGACAAAGAAGTATCGTTATGAGGACATTGAAATAGAGCAAGCTTGCTGGAAAAAGTGTAGAGAGTGGCGCCCGAAGGTCGAAGAAGGGGTTCGCGAGGTCAACGTTGAATAGCTGATTCGCAGGAGAAATGAAGGCGTCGATTCCTAACTAGAGGATTCAGACCGTTTCGAGATGGCACCCAACCGCGAATGAGGTTGATTGTTGGTTTGCTGGCTCTAGTAGGCACGAAGGCCAGTTGACGTGATAGTCGATGGCCGGAGGTAGATGTCGTTGAAAGTGTGAATAGCAACGGCTTGCAAGCAAGCTAACTACCGGGATCGGCGAAGAGTAGTGGCTACGGAAGCATTCGAGCGTTGACGAGTGTGTGACAACGAATCGACAGACGAGGATCGTTGGTGGGTGTCGGTCGATGGGAGGTAGTAGCTCTTATCTCGATGGATGGTTGAGGGAGATGTCGTTGCTGAAAGCGTGGACGGATGTTGAGTGACAATGGCGAGGGCCAAAGTGAGTCAAAGGACACGAGGTGTGAGTCAATGTTCAATGACAGCAAATTGCCGAGGCTGGTGGAGTTTGTACAGAAATCGTGGTTCCTGAGGCCTCTCTTATCCTATCTCTGTCGATGGGTTGACTGATTGATATACTCTTCAACTCGATGGCAGAGCGTGATAGGAGATTGCGTGATTGCTTGCAAGTATGACTCGCGGGTGGGCACGCGGGAGCTGGCGTTGCGAGTATCGGTGGATTTGTTGATGGGCGGGTAGATGATAAGGAGGTCGGAGCGAAAAGGGTGGTAAAGGGAGGAGGTTGAGGCGGGGGAGAGGAGGCTAACAAGCAAGGAGAGGAAGAGAGGCCGTTGACGACGATGATTGAAGGATGGTAGAGTAGAGGAAACAAACAAGAGAAGGGGCGAGGATGATGAAGGGGGAGTATTAGAGTAAAGTAGGTAAGTGCAGGCAGAGGCAGAGAGGACGGTACGGTAAGGTAGGTTGGACGAAGCAAATGGGTGGGTAGGCTGGTGCAGGACAGGGAATACAAGGCGAGAGGAAGAGAGGTGTGGAAGTGATCGAAGAGAGAGAGTGTGTGAGCGACAGACGGCCAAAGAAGAAGATGGAGGTGAATGGACGAGGATGGATTGGCTTGGATAAGACGGGATGAGAGAGAGAGACAGAGCGACAGAGCGACAAGAGAGCGAGGAACCCCAGGAGCGAGATAGGCAGACCGGGGGTGGAAAGGCGAGCGCGTGAGTACGTACCGGGGACTGCGTATTGCGACAGCTCCGGGACGGTGAGGTGCAAGTACACTTACGGCGATACGTACCGACAAGACGGGGGCCCTCGATGGAACTGAGAGAACTGGGACGGAACGAAAGTCTACGGTAAGGTACCTTGCCTCACGCAGTCAGTAGCGGCACACAACTAAGTACCTAGTCTTACTGCGTGGTCAGGGAGCTACCTAGGTACCTGGATAGGTTCCTTACCTTACCTGAGCAATGCTGAGCATGCTGAGGTAGCATCCTTGGGAAAGGGTGACGGACGGTCGAGAAAGCGGTGGGGGAAGAGTACGTATCTTGTGCACTCACGGGGCTGGCACCTGGCACAGGTACTGGGCAGTCTGGGACAAGTCGACAGGAAGCATGGCGCGCTACGTGGAATGATGGGTGGAGGGGAGTGGGACGACTGGGACGACCGGAACGCACGCTTGACCAACTTGCAGACAGCATTCAAAGCAGGATTGCCTGTCTCTCACATCTCTCTCCAATCCCCAGCACCAGACAACTGTCTCCTGCATATTATCCGTATGTATACCTTAGTAGCTACCCAGTAATAGCATGCACCACCCTATGCTATCCTGATCCTCCTGCAGGACACGACTGGGCTTTCTTTCTTTCTCGCTGGGCTGGCAACCAGACGCGATGCAACGCAACCCAGCCATGCCTGAAAAGACTCCAGTCAGCCAGACCGACAGACCGACACTTCGATTGCTCGCTCCCGTCTGTTCAGATCTCAGCCCTCCTTTTGGCTCTGTTGCTTTCCCCAGACACACGACAACCAACCTCAGACATAGACAGCAGTCAGGTGTGTGAACTGTGGAGGGGGGGAGGCAGCTCTCTCGCTTTCTCCATGCCTAGGTACCTATGCAGAGAACAGACGAAAGAGACAGCCAGTGAGTGAAAGACCGGGTCAGCCCAGAAGCCCCACTTGCTGTCTCTGAATGGCCTGTTCTGATGTTTGTGTCTTCTCTCGAGGCGCATGTAGACATTGTACATAGACTACTTTGGCTTCCGTTTACCACTCCGTTAGCCAGCTCCACGCTTGGAGGTCCAGACCTCGGACGGTGAGCGTTGAGGGTGTGAAGACTGTGACACTGTGCCGTCAGCGGTGTCACAACGGGTTCACGGTGCCCAGTGTTGGCTGAGTCTGACGCACTGACGAGCCTCGAGGTCAACTTGGAAAGTCAACCATGTGCCTTGGTAAACCTAGTGCAAATAGTTGGTGTGAGCTAGGTACCGAATAGGCTGGCAGCCGTCTACCGAGTGAGGTACCTCATCAGCTTAGCCAAGAGCAGAGGAACACATAAGAGCACGGCTGCATCACTCAGCGTCCAGGCCCAGGTGTACCAGACCAGCTGACTATTGACATAACCCACGGTGGATAATCAACGGGTCCCGGCACGGCGATTCTCGCCCAACTTGTACCCGTCCGCCCCGTCTTGAGAGCCCATTTCATCATCTCTTCGGCCCCGTAGCCTGCTGGAACTGGGAGCTGCCAGCGAGGAAGCAAGAGTCATACTTGTCGGGATCCTCTCCAGAATCCACTGAGAAAAAGGAGAGTGCAAAAAGGTAACTCAGTGCCCGTTCCGGCGAATGGTAGACGGGGCTTTGTGCCGTTACTCATCGTCGGAGCGGACGGTTCAACGAGACCGCCTTGATTGATAAACTTGATTGCTCATAACGGGGTTCACGGCACGAAAACCGTCCGCAGCGACTTCCATTAGCTTCGATGGATGGCGACTTCAGGACGAAAGCAGTGTCCAAGATACGCAATCTCTGGGTAGCTGGTGATACCACTGTGTTGATACGTAAGACGAGAATGCGTTGCCGCGCCGTATGTAGTTGTTGTGTAGATTGGCCGACGCAACCAAGTAGACACGGGGTCGGAGCCGAATAACTTTGCCAATCAACATAAACATCAACACTACGGATGCCGCAACAATAACAACCTGCGAGGAACGCTGGCGCGAGGGGTGCCCGCAAAGCAATTAAACTCGTGCAGCAGCGTAACTATGACGAAGTCCGGTAGCGAGGTACGCCATAGAGGCGACCAGCGGTGCGGGAGATGGCAGGTAATCTCAGTAGCATCAGATGTATCTCGCAAACCCAAGCTCAGGGGGGAAGGGGAGATTGACCGGCGGGACAGTGCGACTGACAAGGGCCTCTCGGGAACTTGGTTCGAGATGTGGGAAGTTTCCTTGAAACAGCAGGCGAACCCCTGCGAAGTGCATGAATCCGCGAATGGCTGGCAGGCTGCTCGACCTGGGGGGAACGTTCGCACGTTCGCAAACTCGCTGGCGATGAAGGTCCAAGGTGTGATGTGCGAAGTGGCTGCAAGGGACCGTCTGGGGTCGAACACTCGAGGTCTCGAACTATCTTCCCCTCTCTGGGTGTTCTAACTTCTCGTTAGCTCTATCGCTGTGTGGCTTCGTACAACATTGATAATTGGAATGGCGAGACCTGAACGACCGTATTGCGTGCGAGTGATGATATGTTGTTACAGGGCATTTCTCTCTTGCAACTTGTCATGGAAGTAGACATGCGAATGAGGTAGACAGTTAGCCTGTCAAGGAGAGACGTACAGTACAATCAAAGTCGATAGATGGCACCGATAAGCCAAGGTATTGCGAATGCCCGGGAGGGAACGTGCTCAAACGTTTATTACTGCATGGTAGATCATCGTTGGACGGTAGACAATAATGAACGGTGATCGTGTAGTGACGGAGTGCTCACCGTCCCGTGGGCGAGAGGCCAGTACCTATGGAGATAGCCCAGACAAGTTTCCGTACTGCCACTCCGTTCAGAGCACCCGTACCAAAAACCAGCGTATTGCATTATGCACTGCCGGTTACGTACCTGACAGCCACCGTACCTAGGCACAGCCAACCAGTACCGACCGTCCTTGGAAAGCGTGGTCCACTTGGATGCGTCGTTAGTCGCCACACCGCCCTGGGGGGTACGTGGTCGGCAAGTATAGCTCACGCAGGGCCTGGGCGAGGACAGCTCCAAGCTCGACATGACTGCCGCGTACTGCGAAACCAGCGGAATGCATGCAGGCTGCCAGCGCCAGGAAAAGCCAAGCCATGGTCCAGGTCATTGTGTGTTTCTTTCTGCCACGGCAGCCGTCGCCAGCCAGTCAAGGCCCATCGACAATCCGGGGTGCCAGGCAAGCCAGGCCTTCCCTTCCCGTTGCGACGGCGCTCCAAATCGTCTGCCGCCTGCAGTATCGACGGACAGAGACAGAGAGTAGGGCGGTCGCAGCGGGAAGCGCGCAACCTTTTTGCCCTTCTTACACAATGAGGGAAGGCGATCGACGGGGTCCAGACGGCCTTAGATCCAAAACTAACAATTCATAGTGCCAGAAGACCATCGCCAGACTCTCATTCGCTCCTGGCGCCAACACAAAGTCTCGCCTGCGAGGTACGGGTACCAGCAGCGCTGGCCAGCCGCCAGAGACTCTGGCCTCATTGAGTCGGGCCTGCATTTGCATCATCGGTTATCCAGTCCGAATACTTTGTACGAATACAACATGGCAAGATGCCGAGAGTGTTCCCTTGGACAGTGAACGCGGTGCCGGAATGAGCCACCGTGTGGATATTGTCCGGGGGGGGGGGGGAGAGGCCCTTTCTCTACATGTTATGTCACGCTCTCAGTGGACTTCCATTGATCGTGAACTTTCATCGTTCTGGTTAGGTAAGGTCGCCTTATCCGTCCCTGGAATTCGGAAGACCCCGTGACTGCTTAGCATCCACGCCACGACCACGGCTATTCCTATTGGGTGTCCATTTACATAAGCTATCCATGCTGATTCGCAGATCTGGATATCTCGACTGAATGGACGTGCCTGTTATGGCTTAGCTTCCAAAGATAGAGTGGCAACGCAACGGGTCCCCCGATTTCCCTCTCTCTCTAGGTACTCGGAAAGAATGTGGGATCCAGTATTCTCGGAAAACGTGGACCTGGATCATGGCTGAAGAATATCGTTATTTGGTCATTTGGTCATTCGGCCGTGGACCGAAATTGGAGTGCATTGCCGCGGTACGGATACAACCTACAGGCCACGTCCACGATCCCCAGGTCCCCAGGTCCCCTGAACAAGAATAGTAGCAGGTTTGCAACTCGTCACGTCAGTCGCCCAGTCCTATGACTCCCGTCCCAACAAAAAAGTCTTGGTGGATATGTCAGAGTAGTCACCTAGTCAGGAGTCAGGACAGTTGTTCAACTCTCATTGCCAGATTGCCCATTGCCATTGCTTGCTCTTGCCTCCTTTTGATTAAAGGCGACTGTGGAGAGTTTGGCGACTTTGGATTTGGGACCGAGAGTTCGAGACTCTTGAGAACGTGCCTATACGGAGCATACCTAGAGGTATTGCTTTGTGCCTGATTGAGAACAAGTATACTGACTGACCGTTTCCCAACGGTGCTCTCAACCCCTCCATTACAGTGTATACCTAGGCACTTATTACTGTCCAGAGACGGTGCCCGGAACCTAGTTCCTTCCTACCTATGGAGTACTACCTACGTAAGGAAAGCTCCTTGACAGCCTCTGTGCCTCTCAAACAGTCAGCACGCCAGCCGACAACGCCAGCTGTTTACCTCGTATAATCTCTCGACTGGATTCCTTGGGGTTCTGTTTCACTTGCTCATTTGCCTTGGTCTCATTGGTCGTATGACACTGCACTCCTTTCGACCTGCAGATGGGACAGAAGTATAATCGCGCCCGCTCGACATCGGTTATCGCGTCGCAGACCTGTTCAAAGCATCCTTACTGTCAATCCCGTCCCGTATCTTGTTCGCACAACCAGTGTTATCTGTTCACTGGCGCTCCTCTGAACGCTCTTATCCATGCTTTGGGGGTAAGGGAAAGAGAAGTGCTCACGGACGGCCACGAGTTCCCCAGAGTTTCCCACGAACTTGGGAGGTCCCCAAGCGCCGCCGGCTCTGTGCCACAAATCCTTCTCCATCGACTTTCCAGAACAAGGAAACGGGCTTTCATGGGTCCTTTCCTAATTGGTGTCTAACCTCCCCTCCTCCATTCGAAGGGGTCCCAATCTCCTTGCTCTCTCTCTCTCCCTCTGTCTCTCTCTCACAAGTTGCAGCTTACCCCAGAGTGACTTATCTCAGATGACCCGTTGGCCGTTGATACGGGTGGGACATTGCTTCTGCGGAGAGCTTTATCTTGCATTATCGTAGATGAGGCAGCTATCTTTCACAGTTTCCTCTTTCCGGTTCACTCTTAGTCTTAGCCGTAAGCAAACGAACCGATCTGCATTCTATGTACAGTTGTCCATTCAGACTGTCCTTGAAATTACAGCTTCGCAACATGGCGACATTGAAACCTTGAACCCACCCAGCCCTTGCTTCGTATCGATAATTTGGCCCAGTCCGAGGTCTGGGGAGGGGCCTAAACGTCAAACCTTCGTCCGATCATTGAACGCTGATGTGACCCCCCAGTGCTCCCCCAAGGCCACCTCACCTCGAAGGCTGGACCCCAAAAGAGGCCCTACAAAGTACACAGTTCACAGGCTCAGGGCTGATGCTTCTGCTATGTGTACTTAGCGCCCGTGACGCTGAGCCTTGGCTGATGCCGATCACGGCCGCTCCTCGAGAGTGTTTCAGAGGTTGACGCTCTTCGTCATCCCCTCCTTAACCCAAATTGGTTCTTACGAAAAGGTTCGTAGGAAGTATGGGCACCTCGGGAAGCGAACAAGTGTATCCGTACAGTCCTGACCGGTATGTGTGAGCCATCCAGACGACGTAATAATCGCGGAGTTCGCCAACTTGACTCCTACCGTGTGGAAACGCATCTCTGGCATAGCTCAATTGTTCGGCAGGCCGGACTGACGGTGATGAAGGCGCGGATAATCATGTAAAGATATCAGTCATAAAGTGAGTGAAACCGTGACCTCCTTTCTCACCAAACGGGAAATGGGGGGCCGCAGTCGGCGTTCGTGTGCTTCTCACGAGTCACCACGTCTTTCCACATCCCCAGTGCCACTCCGTTCCCCAACGACTCGGCCGTGTGACCGGGCAATAGTGGTCTCACTGCTAGATGAATGACCTTGAAGAAATATCCCCCGCCACCAGAAATCGATCCCCGCTATCCATGAGAGAGACGTAGGAACATACGAAAGCCTCAAAGCCGCAGCACGCTCATTACTGCAGGCAATATGGGGCTTGCAAAGTGCCAGCCAGGACTCAGCTCCAGGTACCTTAGGAGGCGGTGCAGCCATCGACTGAGAGGAACAGATTAGAACTCTGAATAACAGCTGATTACAATGTCTCGCTTCAACGTTTGATGGACCTCCATGGCTTGTCTCGTCTTGCCGCCCTATCTGGCGATACATGGGCCAGAATGGCTACGCAAAACTGACCTCGCTTAGGCGACAGAATGTCTTGCAAAGGTCATGAGAGATGCCACGATACCACCCCACCACCATCATCACCACCATCACCACCATCACCAGCCAACCATACAACCCCCTTCTAAATGGATTAGAGCGTTTTGTAAGTGTTTTGCATTTTGCGGCTGGCTGGCAGGAAAACAGCAGCTTCATTGCTGGCGAGTACACCGGCCAATGCGACTGGTCGACCGCAATACGAATGGGGTGATGGATGCGTAGAACACGGAACTTGCGGGCGAGTACAACGGATCGTCGCCGGCGTTCGAGATAACCCCGCCGCCGCGAGCGGCGAGCTTCACGGGAATGAACGCCGGGCATCCGTACGTCTGGCCACGTACTCAGGACGTGATAGAAGCATGTGGTTTACTTATGTCACCAATGCTCGCAATGGAATGACTCTCGCTAAGTCCATCGGGCGTATCACAAAGTCACTCTTCAGGTAGATTGAACTGTCTAGTACTGAGTCTTGGAGTACTTTAGTTTCGACCACCGTATCAACTCCGTAATGAGATAATGTTTCGCCTCGTCACTCATACCGCTCTATCAACACCTCTAACCCCAAATATCTATCTAGGCTCGTGATAATGTGTGTCAATCTATCGCGGCGGCGAAAGCACATGTAGCCAACAGAAAAACAAAGTTTATCCACCTTCCCGTCACTTGCGTGTTATGGAGGCGAGAATCGGACCAGAGCCATGGTCCGTGATGCCGCCGCGCGTGTGCATCGAGGCCCGCGAGATGTTCATTTCTTCTTGGCCACGCGGTCCAAATTCCTCACCGTATCTCTCCGTCCTCGCTCATTCGTGACTTTCTCCGTTCTCGCGGGTGCAGCTAGATCCTACGAAGCAGACCGTGCGCTGCGCTTTTTCTTCCATCATGCTTCCAGGTTTTCCCGTTGATTCACACCGTTGGGACTCTAGCACGAGGACGTGCTAGCGCACGACAGCAAACGCATCTCGACCCTCAGACTATCAAGCCAGTCAGGGCAGATGAATCCACGATGGCAAGAAAATGGAAGAATGCGTGACGTATCGTGGTTATTGAGTACATTTTGCGTCCGTTCGGCATTGTGCAAGATTCACGCCGTCCGCACCCGCTTGCTCGGCCTCAATCCGCCGCTTGCCCATTGGCACATACCAATATCAGTGACCCACTCATCACCATCATATGCCAGCGAAACATGTTGCTCGTGAGAGCGGGACGCCTCCGAAGCTCGAACTTTGTCGACCGAAGAAAACAAGCATCAGAAAATCAGAACGGCCTGGCGCAGTTGGCGGGTAGTCTGGCTCATCTGCCACACGCTCGAATGCGGACAGAAGCATCACTAGGCCAAGCTACTCGTGCAGATCAGCAACTGAGAAACAAAGGGGTCCAAAAGTCATGTGGCTTGTCAATTCAAGGCGCCAATCCATTGGACCCTTGCTGTTGCGATGACCACGCCGCCGTCGCCGTTTCCATTCCAAGTCTGTTTCGGCAATGTTTGTTTGCATTGCGGTGGCATCCCGACTCTCCATGCCCCTTGCGGGATTCTGGCGTTGGTATTCGTAAAGTAGGGAGATAGTCGTACCACGAGAACACAGATGTGGCAGGGTTTGATATCGCAGAGAAGCACGATTGGATGGAAGCACATCAACGATGAGACTGCACGAAAAGGGCACGGCATGTGTGTCGGAGGTTCAATCGGCAGGGGGCCCGGACGGATTAGGAAAAAAGCGAGGAGAGCATCAGCCACTTCGAACTTCAGTCTTCAGCCCAATAGCCTTGTTAACCGCAGCGCTTGTATCTGCCCTCTCAGGTTCCAGAGTGACAACCTGTCAACTTGTCAGGAACTCCAACTTCCAACCAAAGCCAAGAGATAGCTCCAGTCTCTTCTGGCGTGGTCGTTTTGGTTCTAGAATACCGCTCCGTAGATCTCGGGCAGGTATGGAGTTCTCGATACCCATAAGCGGCCTAACCAAGATGCCAAATCCTGGGCTTCTCGGCCGGTGACCTGAACCAGGCGTTCCGTTGAAAGGATTCGGGAACAAGGCCGGCGTGCTCCACGTAAGGTACCCGAGCGCATCGTTCTTGGGTCCGTCGACGCCCGTACGAGGGCCGGACGACGACCTTCTTTACGATTCTTTCGAGGTCATCGGTGACCTGTCGAATTCTCACGATGGTGGGGAACCAGACCGCCTGACAATGCGCGACGGACTCACGACCAGCTTCCCGCCGGCTCCCCCTTTCCGGCCCCCGAGTTCACCGTCCGGCCGCAAAGTGTTCATCCACCTACTCGCTACATGAGCCTTGTGAGAGAGCCACTCTGCCGCTGTCGTCGGCTGGTCCGCGGCCGACGGACTCGTTCCAGCCGCTGCCGCTTGATATGGCCCCCAATTGAGTGCTCCCTCCTCAGTCTTCACCGCTGCTTCAGTGTTAGTCCTGGTCATGCAATCGATGTCTTAACAGCCTGCTGCTATTGGGCCATGTCACCGGCTGCTACCATAGCAGGCCTGGGTTGGTGTAGCCCTCTGCGACCTTATTCGCCATCTCCACTCACACACACCTTTGCGGCGTTGCGCAACCCAACTTTCTCTCTTATACAGGCACACACACACACACACACACACACACACACACACACACACACACACACACACACACAACTTACAAGGCGCACCTCGCACCAACTCTCACCTGCAACGGGCAGCCATACGGCAAATCTGCAGGTCTGCAACCGCGTTTTCCCGTTCCGGCCCTACTTGATTTCCGGACGCTGGCTTGACCGCCTTCTTCTAATCTCCCGCCGTCACAACCTTCATGCATGAACTAGCTAGCGCCTGTCAACCTGCCTCCGTTGAATTGCGGAAAGCTCGAATTGAGAAGTAAACAGTTCTTGGAAACGCCGCTGAAGGATTCCAATCTGGAAGCGAGAAGAGACAATCGCAAAGAGGAAAAAAAAAAGTCTGCTCGCGCGTCGCGCCCCCGAGGCTCACCGTCTCGACGTGTCACTTCGGGAAATAATTTTTTCTCTCTCCCTGCTGCCTCACCTTGTCACGACAACGCACAATACCAAGTTTCTTTCTTTAGACAGCTCACACAATGGCCCACAGCCTCGGCGCTATTAGTGTCGTATTGCTCGATATCGGTGAGCGCCTTTCTTACCTGATGCCGAACTCACCGCATCCAGGATGATTTCGTTGCATTGGCGGATACAATTCTCGATAACATTGCCCATGCTGATTCGAGGCTTTCCAAATATGCAGAAGGAACCGTTTGTCCCATATCCTTCGTCAAAGATGTGCTGGTATGTCGTCTCACCCCAAGTTCCTACCAACCACCCACCCCCTGGTCTGTAGGGTAATTTGCAGCTCCCTCCGGGTGACTTCCTTGAAATCTCCTCCGATGGCACGGAGGTGGTTTTCTTCATTCCGAGCCGGGCAACCGTGCGCTTGCTCCCACGGCGGCACAGTCCCGCCGATATCATTTCCGTGCTGATACCTCGGTTTCCAGTATCCGTATGCCGTCGATGCCCTTCCGGCTACCCTAGACAAGCAATGGAACAATCCCGAGTTTGCAGTCTACCGCAATGCGTTCCCTGAAGACTGTGTGTCTGATCGATCAGTCTTCGAGACGCATTTCCGCGACCTTGTCAAACGCGATGTCAAGGCATCGTACCTCAAGGCCCTCCAGGGTTACCTCTGGAAAGAGGGCTACAAGTCGGGTGAAATCAAAGCGCCTCTCTTTCCGGATGTCGCTGAACGTCTTTTGTCCTGGAAGGACGCCGGCCTACGCCTCGTCATCTACTCCTCAGGCTCTGTTCCAGCCCAAAAGCTCTTCTTTGGCTACACAGATGCTCAGCCGGCGGACTTGACGCCTGTCATCTCGGGCTGGTTCGACACGGTCAACGCCGGCCTCAAGACTGAGCCCGGCAGTTATGCCTCAATCCTGTCAAACTTCACCGACACCAAGCCTCAGGAATGGCTCTTCCTCAGTGACAATCCCAACGAAGTCACAGCCGCAATCAAGGCCGGAATGCAGAGCATTCCCGTCGTCCGCCCCGGCAACGCTCCACTCCCGGACGACCTGAGCCCAACGTTGCAGCCGATCAGAGACTTCAACGAACTCAAGGGCCTTGGATCAAAACACTGATACGCGACTAACTTGGCTTGCGGGGTACCCGACGACGAGTGTTGCTCCTAGACTTTGGTAGCGCTATTGGAGACCTGCCGGCATGGAAACGCCTCGAATACAGTCTGCATCCGGTGAACACCATCTTCAGCTTTCCCATCTCCGTCGACTGCCCAATTCCACATCTCTTGTCCCGTCCATGCCATCCCTTACTCTCCAAGCAAAGTCTGTTCTAGATGCCCATCGCCCATTCCTCGGCTTCAGACACGTGGGATCTCATACCTAGCTTTACCCGCAACAGCTGATAAGAGACCGGAAACGAGATGGCCAATTTGAGAAACAGGCAGGTCGAAGCTGTTTCCATTGGAGCTCGAGACCTTGACGCCCCATCCAGACGCCAGAGGGCCCGCGGCAGCCGACCAAGTCCATGTTTTGTCTCGCATGAATTGCCGATTGATCCAGATGTAGGACATGGACTCGTCCGTCCCGTGGAAGGCAGGTGAAAGCAGCCGCGGCGGCCCATCGCTTGCAACGGGCGCTTGCCAAATGCCCGGACGGTGGGGTTCATCTTGGGCTCGTCGTACCGATTACATTCATCCCACAATATAGGTCATTGTTGGCTTATTGGAAACGTGACTTCTTCGAGGCGTCCAAACGGAAGCGAGAATATGGACGATCGCATGTCGATCGCTGTGAGGGGAGAACGCTTGGAACTTACACCACCTCAAGGCCCGCCTCGCCGTCTGATCTACCAGTATTGCCCCCAAAAAGGCAGCCAGAATCGTGATTGGGCCCCATCTTTGATCACAATGGCAACAGTGATGTCCCGTTTTCAACGGACTTGATGATCTGCTAGCCGGCTCCCTGGGCCGAAAAGTTGATCCAATCTAGCAGCATGCAATCATGAATCCTTCAGTGTGATTGTGAAGTTGTTACGATTCATGCCCGGGTTGAGCTCCTTCTTAGCAAACAAGGGCAACGGTTTGCTTGGAGCATTTGCCCTCTTCCAGAATGAATAGACCAGCTTGTTGGTGGCCTTCCCCTCAAGTTGGACGTATCCCAAGGCCGTCATGATCTCAACCAACCGATCCTGAGAGAAATAGCGTGAGTTATCAACACAGCTCCGAGGGAGGACCAAGAATAGTGAGGGAAACAGGGCGCGAGTAGCATCCGATAGATCGTCTCCGGGCTGGCGGAGAAATGAAAGCGTGCGGAGAAGCATCTCACCACGTAGTGAGTGGTCAGGAACGTAGTTGACAACCAAGCTGAGTGAGATGATGTCAAACCGATCCGAGTCGTCCATTGGTAGCGGTCGCTCCATGAAATCCTGCTGAAGGATGCCCGCCCGTTGGCTGTTGAGGTCGATGAGAGTCATTTCGAAGAAGCCGCTCTTGGAGCAAGCGTTGTCAGTACTGAGAGCGCCCACTTCGAGCATTCGCAATCGGCGATGCGCCCCGCCCTCGCTCTTCCCCTCACTCCGAGTGTCCTTGGACTTCAATGGCTGCACATCGGCTGATCGCAGCCAGTCCAGGAGGACTCTCGAGCTGTCTCCGCCGCGATCTACTCGTTGGCCTTGGAGACTGGCTCGCTGGTACTCCTCGAGCCCTCCGAGGGCAGAAATTTCGGCTGCAACCACTGCTGCCTCCCTCTCATCATTCCGAGCCAGTGCTTGCTGGCGCTTCTTCTGCAAGGTGTGATGAGTGTTGATAAGCGTTCTGGTCTCTTTGCGAGATATGGACTTTGCTTTTTTGATAGTGGGAGGGCGGCCTCTGGACAACAGCTTATTGGCGGGCTTGGTCCTTCCCATATTTCTGACGCTTGCTTCGGGGTTTTGGAGGGAGAAGAGCGATTAGAGCGAGGAACAAGGGGACTTCGATTTGCGCTTCCGGGTCGCGTACGTTGAGTAAGCTTTGGATATTTTCAATGAGATCAATATCAAAGTCGACATAGCATTGGGGTTTTTTTTTTCTTTCCTTGCTCGAAGAGTGTAAGTCGAGCGTTATGTAAGCAGTCTGTTCCTTTTGGTCAGTGCCAGGTTGAGCGCAGTTCCAGTCGGAGGGGGTAGGTAGCCAGCAACGGCGGAATGATTTTCCTCATCACCTTCCATTCCCCCGCTCCTTCAGCCAAGATAAGATAACAAATCGAGACGCACAGACCAGCTCAACCCTAAGCCCACAGATGAGAAAAAAAAACATTTGACTTTCGGAATCTCTTCTTTTTGCATTCGACCTCGACACCGACGACAACCCAGCTAACCCGCCCAACCAGCCAACATCCCCATCAGTCACAATGGCCCCCAAGGACTCGAAGAAAGGTACTTGAGAAATCAACTCCCAGCAGCAGCAAGAAACACACACTTGCGAGCGCAACATTCCCAACCACCATATACACAAAACGCACACAATGGCGACTCGACAAAATCTCTTGTTTCGTCGACAGCAATGGGCAGGACGGTGACGGAACGGGGGATACACCAACAATCTCTACGCCGGAACCTCTCTCCCGGAGCATCATGCTACAGCAGATTTTGCGAGTTCTTTTGAAAATAAAGAGCGATTGCTGATGCGACATCTCTACTCTAGGCGGTGCCTCCAAGGCGCCTAAGGGCTCCAAGCAGGCCAACAACGCTGCCAAGGCTGCCCTGAAGGGTGTAAGTACAAGCAAACATACTCCTCTGGCCCCCCGGCTTTACAAGTCAATGAAGATGCTTGCGGCCGAAGGATGACGGGATACTGTCTGCCACCACAAAACAGAAAGCTGATAGCATCTACCCCTAGGCCCACGGTCACTACAAGAACAAGGTCCGCTACACCACCTCGTTCCACCGCCCCAAGACCCTCGTCGTCTCGCGCGCTCCCAAGTACCCCCGCAAGTCGATCCCCCACGAGCCCCGCCTCGACGAGCACAAGATCATCGTCCACCCCCTCAACACCGAGTCCGCCATGAAGAAGATTGAGGAGAACAACACCCTCGTCTTCATCGTCGACGTCAAGTCCAACAAGGCCCAGATCAAGCAGGCCCTCAAGAAGCTTTACGACATCGACACCGTCAAGATCAACACCCTGATCCGCCCCGACGGCTCCAAGAAGGCCTACGCCCGCCTCACCCCCGACGTCGATGCTCTTGACATCGCCGCCACCAAGCTGGCTCTCGTCTAAAGCGGATATTAACTTTCCGCGAGGGACTGAAACGGGAATGGGAAATGAAAAAGTAAAAAGCAATTTGGGTTCATTGACTGCAAAAGGCATTGGCATGGGCGTCTCAAGGTTGTTGATACAGATTCCCCAGGAGTGGCATCTCCTCGAGGGCACCAATCGATTCTCCCGGTACTCAGGCTGGGGTACCATGACCGTGTTCAGTCTCGAAGAAATGCTCATGAATGCGGAATTCGCTTCCGGTGACCATCCTCGTATTTCCAGACTCAAATTCGCAACCGTGAAGTCATTGTGACAAGCCAGATATCGTTGTAGACCTGGCAGACAGTGTTCTGACATGATGGGATTGCCATTCTTTCTCGTAACATGATTATAAATATGCTTGTACATGAGCAACTTCCGTCCGAAGTTTCTCTACGCCCCTTTCTAATCCGGTTCCCCGGTTCCCCCACGAGCATGCCGTTGTGGCGTGTTCCGTTTCCTGTTTCCTGTTGTTCCAGCGTGTGGGATCCGACGGTTTGCTCCGAAACCCTTTAACCAGAGCGCATGTTGTTGAGGTGCTTCATCGTGAGGAAGTTGACGTCAAGGAATCTGTCAACGCAGTTGGCCAGGCATCCCTCCTCGCCCTTGTCCAGCTTCGAGCCGCGGATCGAGCCACTGACGCACTTCTTCCAGCAGATCTCGGTGAGAGCATGGGTTTCTATTCATGATTCGAATTAGCAGCCAAGTCCTTTCTCTCTCTCTCTCTTTCTATCTCTGCAGCCATCCGATTCGACCGCGCACATGTGCCGATGCCTCCCATAGTCTCCCATTACCTTCAATCTGCCATGCTCCCCTCTTCTACGGTTCCATACAGATGAGGGTATACTAACGTGACTGAATTTGAGATCTCTGCTGCTCGTTGGCAAGGAATTGGCGGAGCTCAAGCTTGTCCTTGTCGTTGAGCTTGTCGAGGTCCGAGTTCTCGAGCGCTGATCTTGAGGAGTCCATCGTTGCGTCTTTGTGGAATTTTCCAGATACTTGATAGTACGTTGCTCGTCAGGAATTGCAAGTGCGGGATGGAGGGGCGTATGTTGGCTGTGACGATAGTATGGTAGAGGTCAAAAGTCTTTGAGTATTTGCCTTTCCGTACTTCTTGCATCCAGCTTTTTTTTTTTTTTGGTCTCCACTATAACTTGGGCATCTCCTATTGGCTGAGTCTGGGCACGAAAACCAAGGGACGGTCATCATCACGTATAACGCCATGTACTCGTCAAGATCACAGAGTAGCGCAAAGAATCATTTTCTTAGCTTCGTGAATGATGACTTAGGTTGAATGAGCCTTGCTGATTTTGAAAATCGGCAAGTACCAGGGCTGCATGAGGCATGCATTGCAAAGTTTGGAAACCAATTTGCATTCTCTTGTATCTACCAAGACTAAACTAAAATCGATTAATTGACCCAAAAGTACCATGGTCCAATCCCATTGCTTGCTTTGTTGCTTGCACAAGCAATCACAGTCATGCTTCGTGCCCTACTAGTATAACGACATGGAAGGAACTCAAGTCGCAACGTTGACAACGGCGCCCCGATGTATTCTTCAGATGTACTTGTACTTGCGAGCCAAGGTCATGCTCACAACGCTGAAGAGTATCAAGCTTCCAAGGATGACAAAGAACGGAACAAGAGAAGTGTCCGCAAAGGGAACCGGAACGTTCATGCCGAACAGTCCACAAACGAGGTTGAGCGGAACAAGAATGGACGCGAGAAACGTGATCTTGCTGAGTACTAAGTTCGTGTGTGTACCCTGAGAGATGCTGTTGATGGAAAGCTGAGCCAAGTAGTTACTGTGGGAGCGAGACAGGATCTTTTCAAAGTGGCCAAGGTTGGTGACCATGGTGACGACGTGATCCTGTATATCGCCGAGATAAAGTCCAATGTCCATACGAGGTGTAACCTTGTAGTTCTCGTTGCAACGCTTGGTAAAGCCTCGCAGGACATCAGCTTTGCCTCCAAGAAGGCGCATGAGAGCCATGGTGTTCTTGCGCACTCGGCCAATGGACCGCAGGAACTGGTTCGAATCATCCTCGCGGGCGACGAAGACGCCATCCTCAATGGCGTCAGCCTCTAACTCAATGTCGCGGATGACTGGAGCAAAGCAATCCACGATATCGTCACTGCCGAACAGATTAGCACTGATAATCGCCTTCGACTGTGTCCACTTACATCAGAGCATAGCAAATCCAGTCGCTGCTCAGCGCAACGTAGTCTCTAAGCAGGGCAATGCGCTTGCGCACGTGAGAGGCATGCGCATTGGGCTCGAAACTGAAGCTCAGAGTACCCTCGCGAAAGACAACGACGTAGAGGTTGTACGGCTCATACTCCAAGCCGTCGTCTTCTTGTACCGGGGTAAAAGATCGAAAGCTTGCGAAGTAGTACGAGGGAAACAGCTCAATCTTCTCCCGCGCTTCTTGCGTCGTAATATCCTCAATCGTCAAAGGGTGAATACCGAATGCTTTGCAGATGGCGGTAACCTCCTCCTTGGTAGGGCTGTTGACGTTCAACCACCAAACTCCATCGGACTCATCTGCAGGGAGCGTGAAAAGGCCCCGAAGATCTTCGCCGGGAAGAACCAAGTCCCCGAGTTCTGCTGCGTGGATCGTAGATTCCCAAGCTGAAGAAAAGAAGCTGAACCGGTTGGGGTCCAGAGGCTGCTGGGTAGCTGCAGGCTTGTTCTTAGCATCTTCAGCGGCATGCTCCTTCTCCGAGATCTCCTGCTCATCAGAGGTGTCAGAGGGCATGTTGACAATATCTCCATCAACAGTGCTGAGTTGCAGCTGAGGCTGACCCTCAGACGACTGTGTCTGTCGTAGGTCCGGGAAGGCACGGAGAGAATCGCGGCGACTAGCCGTTCGCGATGCCTGGTCAGACTGGACGAAATTCTCCAAGTAGTCGAAGTCGATGTACAGCTGGTCCTTGCGCCGGGGATCTTGTAGAGGGAAACAGACGTCTTCCTCTGCCGACTGGTTGGTGGCTAAGCTGGCGCCGTCATCGACCGTGAAAGGCCGACTGCGGTGGCTACGGCGGCTGCTGATTGAGCCTGCGCGATGCAGGTTCTCCTCGCTACCCTTCCGCTCAGCCTTGGACTCAGAGAAGGACATGCCACGCTCGCGACGGCGCGCTTCAGCGAAGGCTTTGACCGAGTTGGGCGGGGAGATGGATCTCTGGTCGGTGACCGTCTCGACGGTCGGCCGACGAACCCGCCGCGCATGCGGCGAAACGTCACCTCCCTCATCATCGACAATTGCCTCTTCAAAATCCCGAACCCTAATACTTGGCGACCGCTCACCAGAAACCGAGTCGGGCCCAAGGAGGCGCGCTCCATACAGGGTGTCGAAAGTGCCTCTTCGGGGCCGCTCTGGGTGAGGGCTAGTGGCAACCTGATGGCGGTGGTCGTCGAGCTCAGGGATCGGCGTCTTGAAGCCGCCCTCAGAGATGTTCTCCTCGTGATCAGACATGTTGAGCTTTGGTGCTGGGAGCTGACGATATTGCTTGGTTTCACAGCCAACGAAAGTATTGACTCGCTTGTGTGGGTAGCTCGTTTGGTGGAATGGGTTGTAAGTCTCAAACCCGTTCCTCTTCGAAGGCCTCCGCAACTCTTGAATCAGGCGGCGATACCCATAACTGATGCGTATTCAATGTAGACCGTAGCCGAATCGCACTCCGCGCGGCCGGCGCGGTGTGCGCTGAAAGAGTAGCGAGCTTCCAGGGTGGCTGTGGTCGTGCCAGTCCCTAGAAGATGCGTACACGCTGAGGAGACAGCGTTAACGCGCAAGAATGCTGAAGATGTGATGTTTTATTCCAATTATTTCTGTTTTGATATTGAAACCCGATTACGGAGGTTTCTTGTGCACTCCGCTGTAGACCCAGAAACCAGGACCTCGGAGTGAACAGGTGGGTGAGGTAGCGTCAGCTGCGAGTGAAGCCAACTTGGTGGTTTGGAGTGTCGGGTAGAATATCAAGTGGGTCTTTCGACCTGAGAAACTCGAAAGTCGAATGCGATTCTACTGTTTATCGCAGCAGTTCGGAAGATATAATAGTATGTGAGGTCGAGGAGGTGATTATTCGTTGTTACGAGCGGTTTTGAGGGAATCGGATAACGATCGAGGAACAATGGTCGTCGGTTAAGGTGGTGCGAATGGTGACCCAAGGATGCGGGACTTTGTCCTCGTCGTCCGGAAACAGTATGCGATTGTTTTGGTAGGTCGCTAGATCAACCACCAGAACAAGATCAGACTAATCTGATGAAGCTGCTCTGACTGCTGCACAATCAAATGAGCCAAAGGTTGGTTTGCACAGAAAAGAAGGAGTTGGGACGACAAGTTTTTTCGGTTGTCCTGAGCGTGTTGAGGGTTTTTTTTGTTTGGAAAATTTTGGTGGTGGATGGAACCGACAGATGACGGGGACGGCCAGAAGGTGATCAAATGCAAGGGAAGATTTCCCGGTTCTGAGAGTGAAAACCCGACTTTGGAGCCAGTGAGTCGCTAAGGTAGGTGGCGGCACAGGCCAGCCGAGAGAGACTTTTTTCTCAGGTTCCAGGCCAGGATGTCTGGGTGTGTCATACCATGGTGTGGAGCCGCGGCAGCACCGTGTGACCCCACACAGTCCGCTAGCCTGTTTAGCTTGTACCCCATCGTTCGCCTTGTGGTTGGGCAGCACCCAATAGCAGCTGCTGGAGCAGGAACATGGTGCCGTAAGGTAAGGTAAGGTCGACTGCACGGAGTGAAAGTGAGCTCGCAAACCAGACCTGAGGATCAGGGGGGTCCGTGCTTCACTTGCTTCGGAAACGGCATACCTGTTCCCTACCTAACCTTACCTTACCTAAGGTGCCTTGCTTGGAGACCTTCCATTTGCTCCTGCCACCATAATACCAGATCATCAGTTGTTGATCACCTCGAGATCGCAGACCGAACCAAGTATTCGGATACACATCTACGGTCCGACAATCTGCACCAGCGACTTGGCAAAGAGGTTGTTCACCACACCAATCCATCTTCTAGCGCACCCCCCCATCATCAACCGGCCAACAACCAAAAAGAACAACTCTTTTGGACAGTTTCGCGGGTGCAATTACAATGGCCGATCAAATCCTCGACCAGGTTCGCGATATCGCGGAGGGCCAGATCGTACGTCACCCGGTGGAAACCTGCCTCCCCTTTGGCTTCTTTGACGCATCTCCAGCTCCCAGACGCTAACTATGTGTTCCCTACAGGACTTTGAGGGCCAGAAACTGGCAGATCTCCTGGCGACTCTACTTCTCTCGGCATCTGGAGTAAGTTCCGACAAACGCTCCATATCGAACTTGAAAGCACTCCATGCTGACTTGCCCTCCCATATAGGTTCTTGCGTTCATCATCGGATACATTTTGCAAGACATCAAGCTCGCAGTCTACGTTGGCTTGGGCGGAACCGTACTCACATTCCTCCTTGTCGTGCCTCCTTGGCCCTTTTTCAAGCAACATCCAGTCAAGTGGCTAGAACCTGGATCTGCGTCCGGCTCCGGGACACGGAACGAGGCTACAATAGCGAAGTCGGGATAGCCGGGACCAAAGACGTCAATTGTTCATCAAGTCATTGTGATGTATGTTCCTGCATCCGTAACTGTGCCCACCCTACAGGGCCTCTCTGGCTAGCTGTTTCTGCCAGCTGGACGCAGTCCTCGCTTGTCAGGAGAGTATCACTTATTGTATCCTCATTCTGCGTAGCCATGACACATAATGCTGCGTATCCATCGACCGAGATCCTCGCACCATTGCCTTGCGCCATCTCAGCGCCCATACTTCTGGAACTCCCAGTCGCGGTTGTCCAGCGGGCAGACTTGTCGGGCCTTGAGCCAACGTGAGATACAATGGAAGTGGAATGCGTGCTGCACGTAGTTTAGCGAGAGTAGGCAAATGGAGTATAGAAAACATACGTTGCAGATACCCCAGGCCACAGTGCACTCCTCACTCGTTGCAGAGGCTTGGTTTGCCTGACACTCGATGCCTGTGTATCATTAGCATTCGTAAGGGCGAAACAGCGGGTTTTCATGTCGGCGTCCAACTCACAGAGGTCCATGATGTGGTTTCTGCAGATAGCGCAGTTGTCGACGACAATGTCCCATGCCCACAAGGCAACGGCATTCCACTAGAGGCACTTGTAAGCTTGGGTCAAGCTGTCCAATTCCTCCATCTACGCACCTTCTTGACTTCGAAGCGCTTCTTCGCGTCCACCGCCTTGCTCTCGCCGTCGGCGGTCTTCTTGGCGACGGCAGTGCCGGGCGCATCCGTCATATCGACATCGGTCATTGTGGAATATGGAATCGAGCTCCGATTCCGGCTACGGTTGAGGCGGTAAGTTTGAATTCTGCGCGACTGAGCGATACCGGTCAAGGTCAGGATGATATACTGAATGTCGAAGAAGAAGCAGCGGTTCGGTAGTAGGGAAGGCTTGCGGACAAGGCGTGAGAAGCGTACCTTTTCTGTGTCGTTGTAGGTGGTCAGCTAAGTCCGATCAATGAGGTCAAAAGGGTTGCGAGCAGGCAGGCTAGGCTATGTCGAGCCTTCCGGGTTGCGGCTGGTTTTCTTACAAAGATGACTCAAAGCAACTCCTCAAGTTTGTAAGAGAAGAGGAAGGAGCTTTGACGGGTTATTGCAGCCTTTGTCGTGTCTCGTTTGTAGGCCGGATTTCTGTGGTTAGGTTGGTGATGTATGCGAATGGCGGGCAGGAAAGGCTGCCAGCGGGAGTGGCCCCGGTCCGTAAGGCGCCTCATTGCACGCCTGCCTTGGCGGGGTTCATGAGGCGTAGGTAGAATGACCTACCTCTCCTACAGTGCGGGAAAGCCGTCTTTGCCTACCTAGGTAGGTACCCCTCAGGGCCGGGGGGCTTCGGTGCTCAGGTGCCTGTAACCATACCTAGTGTGCCCTGTAGGCCTGCCCACACTGCCTGAGAGTGGCAAGCCCATGGCAAACAGTGGACAAGCGAGCAGATTACCTAAGCTTGCTACGGCTCAAGACAGTCTTCACGTTACCAAAGTGCGCACTGGGCCCAGCAATGGGTCAGCACAAAATCTCAGGGATTGAGGCGACTTTTGGAAGCATTCTCAATGGCAGCATGTAGAATAGATTGAGTCCCCCTACTAGAGATTCCTGCAGCGATTCTGGTCATGTAACACAACCGCAGTGAGGGAGGCGGATTTGGAAGACGGCGGGGATTCAGTGACAGTCACACCAGGTAGGAACTGCAGCATTTGCCTCTGACTGGGCAATCGCACTCGGGCATTGGATCTAGGTACCTTACAACGTGAGCGGCCTGGCTTGAGAGGCTTGCAGTTGCTCCATGATACCAATCAAGCACGTCTTGAGTCCCTCCCCTGCTTCTTACCTGACTTTGGGGCTTTCTTGCGGAATCGGAGTGACGCAGCTCTTCCGAAAGTCCAGGGCCGTGACTCGTATCAGCAACCTGTTGCCAATTTCGACGATGGAAGCAAGGATGGTGAGGTAATGCAAGCCGTCCGGAGCTGAAGACGGGAGTAAGGCTGGAAGCGCACGTGAAGGGGTCAACACCGAGATCCACCTCTCTCTTACGGGAGGTTACTGAGCCACGCGTAGCCTGTAAGAGGCAACTAGATAAGGGGGGGTAATGGGAAACATACGTGGATGTGATCCATCGATGGGATGGGATGGGATGGATTTGGCAGTGACACTGAAGGGACGGGATGACATACCTGCCACCACCCACGCTACGCTAGGTACCTGCCTGCGTATGCGTAGGTACACTAGGTCAGGCATCTTAGGTACCCAACGCGCCTTGCTAGTATGGTGAGATACCTCCTAGCCCCAGACAGGAGGACGGAAAGTCGGGCAGGTTCCTCAGCGAACACGCCCAATCTGGGCAGGTTTGGCAAGGCACACACACGCTCTCACCCAACATCTCCACTCAGCTCAAGGTCTCCTAGCACCAGGGTTACTTAAGCCCCTCTCCCCTCTTTCGCCGCATGCTGTGGCTTTGCTCTTTCCCCGATTCTTGCCATCGTCACCTTACTCGACTCTTCAGCCCGTCACTCATTTGTACGGCAACATGAGCAGAGAATATACACGCGCTTTTCCTGCATCAGACACTGGCTTCTACTTTTCGCTTTTACTTTCTCCCAATCCGCTTCCTCAAACAGATCATCCTCCTGGCGCTTGAACGTAGCACAAAACAGTACCATCGGAAGAAGGAAAACCCAGCATATCTAATCTTGCTACAGCCAGCGTATCCAAGCTTCGCGACCGACAGATACCTGCCTTTCGCCACCATCATATCCCTACCTTCTCAATCAAGGCATTCTTTACCTTCCAGCGACCATTGTCTAGGACTTCTCCCCCTTTGTCGACCCTGACTGCCGCCGGTTTCTATCCTACGGTCGCTACGACACAACTTACTATCCCACTCCTACGACCCAGGATGCAAGAAACAACAAACCAAGCAAAGCCAACGCCCACTCGTCGCCGACAGAATCGTGGCGGTGGCGGCAAGGCTGCTGGACAGAAGATGTACGCATCAGAGACCGACGTCGCCAATGTCTCAACCTTGGCCTTCGATCAAGCCGGTCATCCTCATACCCCTCAGAAGTCATATTCTGGCTCGCCTGAGCCGCAGTCCGGCAACGGCAACCAGCCTGGCTCCAAACAGCGCTCGCGAAACAAACCTCGGGCTAGGAACCCCAATACCGTAGCTTCGCCTGACGTAACCCGCCAAAACCGCCGCTCGACCCCTCAGAGCATCCCGGTAAACAAGTCGGCAGCAGCCGCTTTCGCTGGCGCAACTTTCCATGCTTCGCCTGCTCCATCAGCCTTACCTATGCCCAGCTTCTACTCAAAGTCCATTCCCGAATCTCCAGGACCCAGGCCGGAAGCTCAACAGCAGCCGTCCCCACCGGCAACCGAACGACAACGCCCGACACCTCAGCATCCTGCGACCGCACCTAGGGCTCGCGAGTCGCCTCTCGACGCCATTTTCAGAGCCGATAGAGCTGAAAAGGAACAGGCACGGCGATCGAGCTCGTTGAACTCGTCCGTTCAAACAGACGGTTCTGAGTCGACCGCTGCCCCTTCGCCCAGGGAGGCCAACCATGGCCCATTCGTTGCGAAACCTTACAACACCCACCCTGGGCACCGCATGCCTCTCCAGAGATCATCTAGTGGAATCTCGACCCAGGAGCTTGACGGCTTTTCGGGAAAGCCCCTTGGCCCTGCATTCTCCACCCCGTACCAAGAGCGCATCCGCGCTGCCCGTGCCGCTCCCAACCAGTCTCCGAATGGCACGAGAGCTACGCAGGTCTCGTCTGCCGAGGATCGCTCTGAAGCTCTAAAGAAGTATCTCTTTGGAGGCAAAGGTCTGGCTTCGGCTGCCCAGCCACCAGTCTCGGCTCCACCAGCTCAGTACGTCCATAACGGCTTCATGGGAAATAACCCGGCCCCTCAGGGCGACCAATCTGCCGATCTCCGCGCCATGGAGGACAACCTGCGCCGCATTCTGAAACTCGAGTCGCCCATGTCATCTACACAATCTGGGGAACGTCCTCTGTACTCTTAGGCGGCCATTGGTTGTCGGTTGCAAACAACAAGAAGGTTCATTACACTTTGTACTTGGGCCGTCACTTGGCTGGTTGGCTTTGTGCCGCTGTTCCTCTTTGGAAGACGCAGGTGTACTGGAACTCATCTGGCATGGAAACGGGAGTCTGCGCTGCTTCTATTTGATATGATTTGTTACTTTGTCTTGCTGGGTGTCTTGGGGTTGCGGGAAAGCGGGAAAGCGGCAGGGGCTCGCAGTTGCTTTACGTGCCTACCTGAGATTCTACTTGATACCCGAAAGCGATGTTGATGTTTTCTTTTCAGCTAGGACCAATTCATATTACGTTTCCATCTTTCATGTCCGATTATGTTTTCATCCATTTGAATTGGAGGACTAGTTAGATATATGCTTGTCGGCGTTGTTGGTCCAGCTCTGATCTGATCCTTTTCACCCTTGGCATACTTGGACGGTCGATCAAACAGGACAGCATCAAAATGGTTGGAGGGGGAACTCTCTGTAGACAATGTACTGGCAATGTTTCTGTCCTTGGTGAAGTGCCGTGGCTATACTACTTGAGCAGACTACCATGCAGCCCTTGAACATCTCCCTATCTACACACGGCCAATCCTGGGTGTCTGTTATGTAAGCACGTTCACTGTGGACTTCCTAACCAGTACCTGCAATGCAATATTCCCCAACCTCTCTTTCCAATATCCAACGTTACCGGCCCCTTTCTTGTGACGAATCTCTCTGCTTCTTCAACTTTGATAGTAAGTTAACGTCGGATATTAGCAATCGTCTTTAGACCAAGCCGGATGACGGTATATAGACGTAGCACAGCTTGAGGCTTCTGAATTAGAAACTCGGATGAGCAGCGGGAAGCTTTTGGAAGCCCCTGAGGGTGAGACTGCGGCCGCCCCAGCAGTCGGCTTCCTGGCTAACTCACAGATTCCCGTGTCACTCTATGCTCACTCATCAACCAGGAGCCGCAATTCAATGGACCACGTGGAATGATCTCTCATTGAGGGAGCATCATCCCTGACATATCGAGGGGACAGTGGTACCCTCCTGTCAAAACCCGGCTCACGGTGCCAAACTCTAGTTAGGTGTATAGTCTAGGCGATTGCCTTGATTGCCTACGGTGCCAGTTCACCGTCCTAAAGGAAGCATTTGTCAACTACATGTCTAGAAATAACTCCCTGTCCTTCCGTCTTCCGGCGGTGGCAGTGCATTAGAGAAGCCAACGACAGAAAGGGCTTCGCTCTAGTAGCATCAGTCCGTCTGTGAGGTTCAAAGGGATTTTCCTACTGAAATCCCTTTGGTTAGTTTCGCATTCAGGTTCAACATGGGAGGCAGCCTGAAAGACGTCTCCTGACCGCTAGTTGTAAAATGCTGATGCTATTGCAGAACTACTTCCCAAAGACTACATCGTCATTCTAATACAAATACAGACACTCGTATTATGCTGGATAAATGAACCGCTACGTGGTTTTCATGAATACACGTAAGTTGACGCCATTACATACTTGTTTAGACGAGCCTAGTCATTCGGCGCCGAGACAGCGAAAAGAACTTTGTCCTCATCTCCAATATGTAGGTGTTGTGTCCTAGAGTCCGAGTAAGAGTATTGCAAGGCCTGAAAAGGATCTCCGAGGTTTCTGTTGGTTGCAGCATCAAACCGCAATGATTCTATAAGGACCGGCATGATGGCTCTGTCTAGCCTGGCACGATGCTGGCAGAAGTGAACTAGCGAGAGAAGTTTACACCTGGATGTGAGAGCAATAAGATGTAGTCTGACTGGGAGCTGGAGTGCCGTCTATCTCGTCCGTTTCGTCGGTGTGGCTTGCGAGAGCCTAGGCCCACGAACGTCTCCATCAGTGCTTTTCAATCCTCTTGTTCTGGGCTTCCATCGGAATCATAGACGTCAGCATGCTCGAGATTATGAGATACCGAATCAAACATCCATGAGATCAGGGCATAAGAAATATTGATCCCATGCTGGAAGATTCTGTACCTTGGTCATTGGGTGTGAGTATCAGCAACCCACAATGAACGATACTCTCGACCAGGGGCATTTCCACGACCATTGAGCTTGATCTCTCGTGGAATACTGAGATTCTCTTCGTCTGGGGTATTCAACGCAACTTCATACACTCAGACGGAGTTCCAAACATCGCTTGCCCCAATGTTGTCTTCAATAAAGTCGTTTGGTTCTCGTTCCAGGGTACAATACTTGGGAAAGAAGAGCCAGCGAAAGATGTAGCTGAAACTACCTGGTCACTTTTTTGCGGCGTTCAGGTTTGCATAGTGTATTAGACATGGTACCATTTAATTCGTATCAATCGCCTCTGCGACTACTACCAACCCGGATGTAGCAGATAATCGAGGTGTCGATGAACTACAACACCACGACAAAACTTAAGGGTTTTCACAGATAGTGGACTGAACGTGGTATATCCTACAAGCAACAAAGAAACGAAAATGTTCTGTACTTCAATAGAATCTTCGAACGTTTACGTGGGATTTTGAAAGTAGCTAGAAAACACCAGGGTTGAAGTGTGAGGCATTCTCTAACGCGAGTCTGATGCCTACATCGGATATCATGCCTTCACGGTTGATAGCACTAGCCCCTTAAAGGGAGATAATTGAGACAGATAACATCGTCAATCAATATATCGACCTTCGCCGTTGGTTTTGGAATTAACTTGTCAACACACCTCTGGTACTGAATGTAACAAACTGACCCGATCTCGATATCGCTGTAAAGCTCATAGCACAAGTGCCATTTAAGCGTGGATATGTAGAAAAGGTACATGCATCAAAAGGAATGATTAGACACGAGAGCACGTGACTTCGCGAGTTCACGAACGGAAAGATGGGTCTTGGTTACACGTCGGCCGTGTAATTGACGTCGTCAGATGTTCACCATCATCACCACGAGGTGGCCCTGTTGCCGACGCTTCACTACACTCAATTCTTTGCAAAATTCAAATCAGGAAGATCGAAAAAGCTCGCTGGGAATTGCAGCTGTCCCTTCACGCCAGCAACTGCAGCCAAAGGCAGCAAGACGTCCTCGCGAGCAATTATGAGTTCGCATAATAATCGGGCGCGACCCCAGTCGCCAAGCGCAGATGACGATCCAGATCTCGCATTAGCCATTGCACTCTCTTTGCAGCAAGGGGACATCAGCAACGACGACAAAACCAAGGTTGCGTCATCTGCAACGAAGTTCCCGACATCGTCAGCCACCAACACAGGCCCGTTGGGGCTGTTGGCCCTCGACCGCAAGAAGATGGAAGAGGAACGTATAGCAAGACTGAAGAAGCGTTCAGCTGCAGAGGCTGGTATCGATACTCAATCCTCACAGAGATTGAAGTTGCAACGCCCTGGAGCCTCTGAGACCCCCGAGGTTATCGGTACTGCAAAGTCCAAGGCAGCAACACCAGCAATATCTGCAACACCACCCGCAAATGCTTTGGAATTACCATTTCCGAAAGGGGCATTCAAGCGTACTTGGGCCTACGGCTTCCCCAGAAACCGGGAAGATATCAAGATTGAGGAAGTCCTTCAAAAGGACAAGCTACAGCTGGCCGTGCTCTCATCTTTCCAATGGGACGAGGAATGGCTTCTTTCGAAGATCAATGCCCGAAACACCAAGATGCTTCTAGTCGCCTACGCAAACAACGATGCCGAGGTATGTTGGAATGCTATCTTACATTTCTGGGTCGGGTGCTAAGCTTGCGATTCATATTCTAGAAAGCCAACATCCGTTCAAACATTCCGGTCGGTAGTCTCATCAAATTCTGCTTTCCGCCAATGCATGGCGGGTACATGCATTCCAAGTTGCAGATCTTGAAGTATGAAGAGTAAGTTGAATCTCAATTGTTTAAGCTACCAGTGGCCATCTAACACAGACTCGCAGTTACCTTCGCATTGTGATTCCTTCCGGCAATCTGGTTCCTTACGACTGGGGAGAGACGGGCCAGCTGGAAAACGTTTGAGCTCCCAACTTGACTTATTCTTGATGGTCTGGCTGACTCCATCTAGATGATCTTTCTGATCGACTTGCCCCGGATCAACGGGCCACTTATCGAGACATCATTCGGCACCGAGCTCCGACGCTTCCTGAGAGCGCTTGGCCTTGATGACAAGTTGGTCAAGAGTCTGGACAACTACGACTTCTCCGAGACAAGCCGTTATGGTTTCATCCATTCCATGTCAGTAGCAATAACCAACAGGACAGCCCGATATAAGATGATATCCTGACTGAAGGCTGACATCGACCCATAGCTCTGGCAGCCATACGAAGGAAGCTTGGCAACACACAGGCCAGTCTACCCGTTCCGCTCGGGACGCGATGACTTCATGTTCGTGGCAAGTCAAAATTGTGCTGACTTAGACTTTCGATTAGGCTACTGCGGCTTAGGGAGCATTATCCGAAGCTTGGGTTTGGCAACCGAGAATGCCGTTGATATTGACTATGTGGTACGTAGGTGGTCTGCGCGGTCTTTTGGCTGAGCAAGTTGCCCAGCTCTTGGCGAGCGGCGACCAGGGGTGTTGCTAACAAATTTGTCATCCCAGGCATCTTCACTGGGATCGCTAAACCATGGGTTCTTAACGACGATATACTATGCCTGTCAAGGTGCGTGTGGTTGCAATCAAGCCTGCTGAGGTTTGACAGGGTGAAAAGATCAGCATACTAACGCTCCGTTGCTGGCACTCCTTGCAGGCGACTCAGGCATGAAAGAATACGAAGCTAGGCAGTCCAAAACGACCAAGAGCAAGGCTGCAAAAACAGGCTTGGGTGGTTCCAGACCGGTCGACATTGACAAGGAGCCGCTCCAATTGCAGCATCATTTCCGCATCTATTTCCCTACCGAAAAGACCGTTTCTAGTAGCCGGGGCGGTAGATCTGTAAGTTGTGTGCCGGCCGGGATCGCCGCGTTACCGGTCGATCCTGCTGCCCAAGTGCCCATGTATTTTCCCCGTATGCTCATTTTACGTGATCTAGTCTGCCGGCACCATTTGCATGCAAGAGAAATGGTGGAATTCTTCAACGTTTCCGCGAGAATTGATGCGAGATTGCCAAAGCGCCAGAGGTGGCCTGTTGCTACATAGCAAAGTCATATTCGTCCGTGAGCGGGCGCACGACGGCGCAGTCTGGGCATACGTGGGGAGTGCAAACTTGTCGGAGAGCGCATGGTAAGTCAAACAGGAACCCTCGCGATTGGCCTGCAGGCTACCCTTAGTGGTAAGGGCTGTGTGACGAAGAGTGAAGGGGCAGTCTAGTGTAGTGTACTGTCTCGTCTCAGTGAGGGACACACACCACAGAAGGGGCAAAGCCTACTGTCTGAGGGCAGCGTGAAGAAACGACGTGGGTCGATCATAAGGCTGACCTAGATTGAACTTTTAGGGGCCGATTAGTGAAGGACCGGGAGTCGGGAACGGCCAAGCTCACCTGTCGCAACTGGGAGTGCGGCGTGTTAGTCGCGGTTAAGGACAGCTCGGCAAGTACTGGGGACCAAGACGCACAGGCACAGTCGCGTCCGCAGGCAGAGGCGCAGACTGGGACGCTGGAGGGACATGCCGAGAGCGAGGAGACATTGAAGGGC